AATTCAGGCGCATGGCACGTATCTATTGACTAGATCGAGAGGAGAGTATGTGAAAAAATTCTAATATATTTTGAAAGAGGAGAGTATGATTTCTGTTGATTTTATCTGCGTTAAAAGGAAGTATGTTGGCATCCCGTCTAGCCTCCGCGGTTTTTCACGGTTTCCGCGAAACTGACAAAAGATAACAACATGGTGTCTTCAGCAAAGTTGTAGTACTTGAGGTTTTCTTTAACATTGCTGAAGACATCTATCTCTTATCTCTTATCAGTTGCGCGCAAATCGCGCACATAAAAAAGCAAATTTTATATAGAACTTTTTTTTCTTATCATTTTTCGCGCTTTTCGTGGAGCTGCGAAGAGATAAGAGCTAACTGACTTCAGCAATGTTATAGAAGACCTCGAGTGCTACAACTTTGCCGAAGACACCAAGTTGTTATCTCTTATCAGTTCCGCGGAAACCGTGGAAAACCGCGAGGACCCGCCAAAAATGAACATACTCGCCTTTAACCATTTTTGAGTCGAAAGAAACTTACTCTTCTCTTTCACAACAAAGTCAGATGAACTTACTCTCCTCTCGATCTAGTCAATAGGTATGTCGTTCATAGTTCAAAGTACCGTTCACCCACAATATCACTTTCTTCGTCTGCATGCTTCGCAATTGCTTTTGTTTTATGCTCGCTTTGTTGTACTTTGAAAAATTCAATTACGGTTGCGATTTGACAATTCGCAGAATGTTTGGATACATTCAGTAGGCTCCAAGGGGCGATTCACGGGCAATTTCAAGTTCGAGTTTAGAATGTTATCTGTGAATTCAGTGAGTTACACTGAGTTTTTGCGAGTTTTATGTGCATTTATCCGAGTTTTATTAACTTTTTCAACTTTGGAGCTGTCAAAAATAGCGACATCATACGCGAATTTGGAGTAATGTATGAATAAATGCTGCAGCATAAATGGCATGATGCAGCATTTCATCAAAGAAATTCATGTTGAAATAGGGCGTAATAGGAAATATTGATTTAGGGAGATTTTTTAAATTGTAACGTTCTAGGGGGTAGACACGAAATAACACTAGAAGAAAACTAGCAAAAATTGAGCATACTTGAAGAATATTTGTGAAAAAAATTGAGTGATCTCTCTTCCATAAGAATAGCATTGTCAGTGGTTTTTATATGGACAAATTCTTCCATTTAAAATATACTGCCAATGCTTTGCTTATGGAGTTCAAATGTTTTGTTTACAAAAAGTACCGTTAATCCTTCCATAAGAAATGCATTGGCAATACTATACATATGGAAGAAGCAATGGTAGATACTAGAAATACTAGCAGAATATTTGCGTTTCTGCTTGTATACTAGAAAAACTAGAAGAAACTAAACGCATATTTGAACCGATTTGAACAAACTTGCTATTCTAGAAATTATATTCACATGTTCAGACATGTATTTTTTGTGTAATTGAAAAGATGCAATTTTTTGGAAGTTGATACTAGTGCGACCGAGTTCTTCGAGTTTGATGTGAGTTTTGCGAGTACGAGCATTCGTGAATCTCACCAAGGTAGGCTCGATTCCATTATATATTACATGTATTATCTGCGTACTTCACCATCATCACGGGTGCACACACGCTTTCTAGAAATTTTCTATTGCGCTATACCATGTCTTCTCTCTGTTTGCTTCCTCTCTCTCTCTCTCTCTCTCTCTCTCTCTCTTTCTTTCTCTCTCTCTATCTCTCTCCCAAACTCCGCATCAATTTGATTTCAACACAATAAATTTAATTTGCTTTATACGCTGCTTTTACACTTCGAATCTGATTTAAGATTACTCTTGTCATGCGTTCGATTCACAAAGTGCCGCAGTTTTTTGTGTGATACATACAAAAAGGAAAACCACAAATTCACTACTCCCAACCGAAAGAAATATAAATTGTTCGAATGAGATATTCGCACAACGAAAAAGAATTGCCTGTCATTTGTATAATTCCGCTTATTTATAATATTACGCATTCCGTGTGTGATTACGAGTGCTGATTCAATTCGCGTAGAAACTGCCACTCTCACATACAATACATCGTATTATTATATCGTCAAATCAGCAAATGACGAATAAGAAATTTCATTGCTTGTCTTTTAATTTCAATTTTGAGTCATTTCCATGTTATTTTTTTTAAGAAGAAGGAAAAAATCTTAAGCAATGTGCAAACATCTGTTGTGCTTGAAAATGGAAAAAAAACTCAAATAAGAAAACTCACGACATAAATTTTATTGTAGCTGCGGCGCTTCTTTTTCCTCCAAACCTCACACTGCTCTTTGCTTTCCAGTCAGCAAATTGTGAAAATAAATATATACTCCGTTTGTATAACTGGCATTTACCTGCGTCTTTCGTGGTCACATACTTTGCAATTCATTAAGAATGCAAATGAATTGTTATTCCGTTGCTCCGTATCCAACAAATGACGATGGTTTTCAAGATTTTTCCATCAAGTCTCATAATAAGTACCATATCTCTCCAGTTGAGTTATATCATCGCCAAGTTAAATACCGTAATGTTTGGTGTTTTTTTTTTCTCTCAATTTTATCACAATTCTTGGTTTCGTCCAAGGCAAAATTGAATTATTGTTCCATTTCCGAGTATTGCTTTTGAATAAGTTTGTTGAATCAACAAATATAATGTTGGTACACTCATTACATTTTATGTATATTCACAAAAGAGAATGATGAACAAGCTAATTACTGTAATTTGGCGCTCCCGACATATTATTTACAGAGTTCAAGCACCGTCTGACGGAGAAAATCAATGTGAAATGTTCTCATTCCAAGCAAGAAGATGTGAAATTCGGTTCGGTTCGGTTCCAATGGATAATAACAGGCACGGCTAAAATGGACCCAAAACGGAGAAATACTTCATGTATTTTGTTGACAATTGAAGCAAAGTATATCAATAGCGCCGCCTAACATGATGCGACGTTGGATGTGACGTTTGCACGAATCAACATCTCTGTGTACAACGCACACATAGACTCTTCGCATTCACACGAACGTACACATAAAGACTTTACTTTCACACAAACGTATAGTTACAGAAATTCGTGGTTGGCGGCGCTCCCAACAAAGTTTCCACAGCAGTTCTAAACGTCAAACATTGTTAAAGCATATGAGATAGCTACTGTTGAATGGACCAAATACAACAAACTGCCCCATCCTATTCCTTCTTTCTCTCTTTCTCTCTCTCTCTCTCTCTCTCTCTCTCTCTCTACCGCAAGGGGAACCAACTTCTTCAAGGGTAAAACAAAAAGTTCACATTAAATGTTTCAAGTTCGAATGGATGACGCGTACCTAATTATTATTATTGAAATAACTTTGATTTGGAAAAGATTTTTGAACGATGGCTCAATTTCCAATCGCTAGCTCAATACGAATTCCCGAGGAAATTTTTAGTATCGTGAATATCTGTCAGAAATGAATTAGAATGTACCAAAAGTTTTTATTAAAATTCAAAGAAACGGCGAAAGTTTAAATTCTTCACCATCCGCCGGCTATCTCAGGCTTTGATTTGCACAACAATCCATCCATCTTATTTGCAATGGAGAAAAATTCTTCTGTCAACGCGTGCGGCATATGTTTTTAAAATGAACTATTTTCACACATACAAAGTACATAGAACCAAGTGATGATAATGTTTGGTATGTTGAGCAGATAAAAGGATATAACCAGTTCAGAAGGAAACGGCACCGTGAAGTGTGTGCATTTGCTTGTATTCATACCGCAATCATCTTACGAAGATTAGCTAGGTGATGAGCTGTTGAAACAAAGTTACAACCAAAAAATATTTGAAGAAAAAAAACACTCGAGAACATTTTCATCCTTATCAAGCGCGTGGATGATAAGCTTTTGTTTATATTTCATTCATTTTCGCACGTTTTGTAAATACTTTTCTTTTTTATCGGGTTGGTGTTGTTTGTGTTCCTACTTCTGTTTCTGTTTCGGTACAAAAGGAAAACATTAAAGCCGGATTAAATGCTTCCCACAAATTCTTGGTTAATTAAACAAGCAAATCGAGCCCGCCTAATAATATCCATAACAAAGAAATGATTGGGTACATTTACCTGGAAATTAAAAAGCTCATTGCCGGTTTTATGATTTCATAGTGTGAATAATGCGTAGCGCAATCCATTGCCCGCAACGTGTACGCCTCTGTGTACAAAACCTTACGTTGAAGCGAATAACAAACACCATAACATTGCACACAATAAATAATATCTGTCTGATTGTGTCTCGGGGCGACACATTCGGTGTATTGTTTCTATTTGTGTTTTTTTTTCTCTCCGTCTATCTTCGCATAAAATATGAACCCTACTCTTCGTTTCACTGAATCACATAAACGATGTGTCATTTTCGAGTCATTGTGCATTCAGTCAAGCGTTTCAAAGTTTTTCCGATCATAAATTTATCGAATCGATGATGAAAACAAAACAGTCGAATTATCTTCGATGAGATATATTGTAGCTAGATAGCATGTTCACACTACAGATAACAGTACAACCCTTCCATTGGCAAAATTCGTTTTTTTTTCTACTCAAAATACAGAGCAAAAAAAAATGAAAATCTAACTTGATAATGTTTTATTGATGGGTGTCACATCGAATTGGTGAGTGAATGAGCTTTCATGCAAAACGGGTAAACAAACGACGGCAATTCACAACAGAAAAAAAAATGAATTTATCTATATTCAAATTTGATTTTAATGCGACCGGCAAATGACAGCCAGCATAGACATAGCTGATGTACGTATTTATACACTGTATGTTCGTTTTGATAGATTTTGCGCCAAGAAAAACACAATAATGCCCACACAAATCGATGCATTATTTTGCATGATATAAGCGATTTGATCAAATCGAAAATGTCTATCGGCAAATGCCAAGCAAATACACCGCAAGCTATAACGTACTAACCAACGAATAAATAAAATCACTCACATTTTGTTTTTCTTTCATTTGTTGTAGGTTTCCATATAGAGGCTTCTTCATAAGCTCGATTTTTTTTTTAATGAATTCATGGAGAAAAACGCCAGCTAATAAAATAAAATAAAAAAAAGGCGAAAAAGTTTGGCAAAAATATCGTAGCGGCGTCGATAGGAAAAGGAAAAATTTATTTACATCTGTGTATCTGAAGAAGAACAACGAGAAGAAGGACAAGAAGACGAAGAAGAAAAGGGGAAAACTTGGGTTTCGTTGAAAACGTTTCGCTGTGTTTACATTGGATGGAAATCATAAAAAGTGACGTGCCATCCACATCATTTCAACAAAGTCAATGACGACAACGTTTGGGTTCGTCACGCTACGAAGCAAAGCAGCAAAAAGATTTTCGATAGCTGTGCTCAGGCCAACGACAAACCAAATAAACAAATAGGCATCCAAGTAAACGAATTAAAATGGCGTTACCGTTTGATATCACAACTGTAGCTGATATCATAGTGAACGGAACCAATTTCAGCACAAATGAAAGCAGCAGCTCAATAATCAACACGGTAATCGTATCATCGACCGATTCATATGTTGACATTTTGCAGTTGTATGGCCCGAAACGCGACCCCTTGTACGTTGTGATTCCGATAACATGCGTTTACATGCTGATTTTTCTAACAGGTGTGTTGACCTGTTTTTGACATTTAACCATACATTCACTCCTGCTACCTTATGATTTTTGTATTTAATATGGATTTTGTGTATCATTTAACAGGTGTCGTCGGCAACATCAGCACGTGTATAGTTATATCAAAGAATAAATCCATGCACACCGCAACCAATTATTACCTATTTAGTTTGGGTAAAGATTAATTAACCGGATGATTTTATCAAAGACTTCTTACTTAAAAATCCAATTTCTTTCTAGCTATATCGGATTTTCTGTTGCTGGTTTCCGGTGTACCACAAGAAGTGTACGCGATATGGTCAGAAGCAATTACAATTTAATCAATAGATCGAAGTTTTAACACTTGATTATTTTTTTTCTTCATCCGAATAGGTCGCGGTATCCGTACGTATTTGGTGAAGTGTTCTGTGTAGTACGTGGTCTAATGGCTGAAACGGCTGCCAATGCAACCGTTCTAACAATCACATCATTCACCGTTGAACGATATTTGGCGATATGCCATCCATTTTTGCAGCACACAATGTCAAAACTATCGCGCGCTGTAAAACTTATAATCGGCGTTTGGGTGGTTTCGGTATGCTTAGCCATTCCACAGGCACTGCAGTTTGGTGTTATCACGGACGAAAACAACATCGATCATTGCACAATAAAACGTGTCATTGTTGAACACTCATTCGAACTATCGACACTGCTGTTTTTCCTAACGCCAATGACATTAATTACCGTTTTGTACATATTAATTGGATTGAAATTGCGCACATCGGGTCTAATGAAGCGTGAAAATGGCGTATCGATGCAACGGCGAGTTCATGTGAATTCGTGTCATCGGCAACAGGCGAGCATCGGAACAAGAAGAGTTCTCAAAATGCTGGGTGAGTTTCAATGAAATGTTTGTCACAGTATTTTACGCAACGGTAGGTGCATTTGTTTATTTATGTTATGTGTTCCCGCTATTTGAATATGTATATGAATTGAATGAAACAAAACATCAACATGTAATAATCGCACTGTGATAGACACATTGCTAATGGCTCTGCAATGCCAGTGATTAATTAACGAAGGTGGTGCATATTCATACATTGTGCTGACCTGAATAGACTTACAGCTGCACAGTTAATAATATATTATTATTTATACTATCGGTATTAACATCGCATGTTAATAATATATTAGTATGATAATAACGGTATTAACTGGTATTAACTAGTAAGTAATAGCGATATTAACAGGCGATGTTAATAACGTATCAGTTGTTAATACTGATAGTATGATCATACTATATTATTATGATTTTTATTATCAATACTGTGACGTCACTAAATTCCACGATTTTTCGCGTTTTCCGCGAAACTAATAAGAGATAGCGGTTTGGTGTCTTCGGCAATGTTGTAGTGCTCGTCGCGTTCTATAACTTTGCTCCAGACTGTTATCACTTATCTCTTATCAGTTGAGCACAAATCGAAACACAGCGCTATGACACTTTTCTTTTTCTTATCATTCCGGTGAACTGATAAGAGATAAATGATAACAATCCGAGGCAAAGTTGTAGGAGACCACGAGTACTACAATATTGCCGAAGACACTAAACCGTTATCTCTTATCATTTCCGTGGAAAATGCAAAACCGCGAAATGTCACCAAATTCCACGATTTTTCGCGTTTTCCGCGAAACTGATAAGAGATAGCGGTTTGGTGTCTTCGGCAATGTTGTAGTACTCGTCGCCCTTTATAACTTTGTCCCAGATTGTTATCACTTATCTCTTATCAGTTGGGCACGAATCGAAACACAGCGCTATGACACTTTTCTTTTTCTTATCATTCCGGTAAACTGATAAGAGATAAGTGATAACAATCCGAGGCAAAGTTGTAGAGGGCGACGAGTACTACAACATTGCCGAAGACACCGAACCGCTATCTCTTATCAGTATTGCGAAATTAGCCTTCCAGTTATCATATTATTAACAGCGATGTTAATAAATGTCATCAGATATGTTAATAATTATTAACATGGATGTTAATAAAATATTATCATGAAAATCATAATAATATAGTATGATCATACTATCGGTATTAATATCGCATGTTAATAATATATTAGTATGATAATAACGGTATTAACTGTTATTAACTAGTAAGTAATAGCGATATTAACAGGCGATGTTAATAACGTATCAGTTGTTAATACTGCCTAGTTAATAATATAGTATTAATAATAATTAATAATATATTATTAGCTATGCAGCTATAAATAGACTGGCCATTACGATAAACTTAATAAATGTCACATACGGCGTTTCTCGTACGGAATGGCTAGATCCGATGTGCACCTTTTGTATTAAAAATTTCAGTAAACTGAACCACACACTCAACGATTATAATTACATGTTTCACTGGCATTTTGATAAATACCAAAAAAAAATACTCTCTGTGTCACTAGAATTATTATCGATATTTGTATGACGCGATTTGCTGCATGCAAAATGTCACACGCTAAAAAATTACACATACATAGCAAATGAATACAGTCTGAAGAGATTATCGAAGTTACAGTAATAATTCCACTTCCACTTAATCTCCTCAACCAAACCAATTTGAATAAAATCGTTCGAGTTCATCATCTCTGCTTGCTCACAAATCCACGATAATTTAGCTACTAGTCGTTCATATCCTTAGCAAATGTACATTTTGCACCATGATGACCTTATTGCAATTTCTTTGAATTAGAGTAGGGATCTCGGCGCTTAAGGTTGATCCCATTCTGAATATGTTTTGAAAACACACCGATTCTATGCATTCTGTATAATGTTTGGAAAATTGTTGCGCTCGACAAATCAGATTATTTGCAATTTATGTTTCATCTATGCTTCATTATGATTCACAAATAGATACCAAAATGGTTGTGAAGTGATCTAAATGTCCATCTCTGTTTGCGGGTTTGTGTCAAAGACTACGTCAAACAGTGAACTTTTATTGGAAATTAAAACGAAAAAAAAAAAACTCAAAACTGAATGTATGAAAAGAAATGATGGCATCATTCCAAAGGGTAAACGCAGTTTTCTCTATCATTAACCATCACATTGAAGCAATTCACATTTATTTCAGAGTCGAAAATTCAGACGGTAAATATTTTTAATTGATACTCAGCAAAGCGCTGATGTTATGACCAGGATCTCAGTGAATGATGTGGCAAGTGGCAGAAACTAGTACGAACGATAGAAATAAGCACTATTTCTTAAAACCATTAAAATCGAGGGCAAAACGTTCGCTAACGCACCACAAATACATCGTATATATATTTAAATGAGTTCAACCTAGAGTTCAACATCACATTTTAAGCGAAAATATAAACAACAACAAAAAAAGCATTGCGAAAAGATATGCTGCATAATCGCTTTGATGATGTTTCCCTTTGTTAAAAATTTCATCTGTAGCATAGATGGCGCTATACGCCGCCTCACCTGCGACAATGTAACTATCATATAAGAGCAAATAATAAAGACAGTCGTTAACTAGCATTCAACGGGTACACACTCATTCATACTACATGGCGACAAGGGCGAAAGAACATAAGCGCGTGCGTAAGAAAAAATAAAAATCGCGAAAAAAATCCAAGTAATCGGATGAAATTAATTAAAATAATATACATCTAATGAAGCTGAGGTCACAGACTAGAAAGGAAAAAGTCGGCGATTTGCAAAAAACAGCCAAGAAAAGTAAAAATTTGTTGATTGAAGAAAGGAGAGAAAAAATTGGAACACGCACTGCGGAGAAAGGTTTGAAAGCAGTTTTGAAGAGAATAAAACCAAGCGACGTTGTTGTAAATCGCGTAGAAATCGAAGACTACAGAAAGGAAAAAAGAGAAAAAGAAAAAAGCAGAAAGGAAAGAAGAGAAAAAGAAAAAAGCCGAAAAATGACTGACCACATGTACATTAAACCCGTTGATCCATTGAAATTGGATGGAAATTTGAACGAGAATTGGAAGAAATTCAAACGCAACTACGACATTTTTGTGATTGCCATCGGAATGGGAGAGAAAACCGATCCAGTAAAAATCAACACATTTTTGAATGCAGTGGGTCCCGAAGCCGTCGAAATTTACGATACATTTGATATGACTGCCGTACAGAGAGCAACTTACAACGATGTAACGAAAGCATTTGCTGATTTTTGTGCCGCACGAAAAAACACCGTTTACGATAGGTACATGTTCTACAATCGAGACCAGAAAGAAGGAGAATCGTTTGATGCCTTTTTGATGGACATCAAATTGCTGGTGAAATCTTGCGAATTTAATCAAGCAACAAACGAAATGTTACGGGACAGAATCGTCATGGGCATTACCGATAAAAAATTACAAACGAAATTATTGGAATCAAATGACCTAACATACGATGCAGCCGTTGAAAAATGTCGTGGAGCAGAGGCAACAAAAGAGCACACCGAAAAAATGAGTAAAATTAAATCTCAAGAAGTCAACGAGTTGAAGGGAGACGGTGCACAGTCAACACAAACGTACAAACAACACAGTAAGAATACGAGACAAAGCAACAACAACAAGCACAGACAGAACGATAAGAGAGCAACCACGTGGCAAGGCAACACACAGTACCGTTCGAACGCGAGCCGAAACAGTGGCAACAGCAACAGCAGAGGTAGTAACAACAACAGTGAAAACAGCCGAAACAACACCAATCAATCCAAATGCAAACGATGCGGATACAATCACAATTTCAACGACAAATGTCCAGCTCAGGGAAAGACTTGCAATGTATGTTCTAAGCCCAATCATTTTGGAAGCGTTTGCAAATCGCGCAGCATAAATTCAATTGAATATGGCTTTGCAAACGATAACAACGATTTTTACATTGGGGCACTTGAACGAAATGTAACAAACACAGCCGGAGATGTGATTGCAACAAGGTGGTTGGAAAGAATTCGCATCAATGATCAACTCGTGGCATTTAAAATTGACACTGGTGCTGAAATGAATGTATTGCCGTTACACATTTTCAGACGATTGATGTTTGGTTCGAACGAGGGTTTGCGATTCACAAACATGACATTGAGAGCATTTGGTGGACAAACGATAAATCCAGAAGGTATGTGTTCATTGATTTGTTCCTTTAAAAATATGAATTTGAGAGTTGTTTTCGCCGTCGTTGATCTTGATGTGACCCCTATACTTGGTTTGGCGACATGCACAGCATTTGGCATCGTCAGCCCACCGCGCACACGCAACAACACAAACAGAATAAATCGATACAATTTTTGACTAGAGGCACTTTGCGCGAACATTGATAAATCGTACGTTTTCAAGCATTATTCAGAATTATTTGAGGGTCTGGGCACATTTGATGGTGAATATAGAATTTTGTTGAAAAAAGACGCTCAACCAGTAGCGCATGCACCAAGAAAGGTACCGCTCGCAATAAAAAGTAAATTAAAAATGAGATTAAATGAGTTAGAAAGGAATGGAGTAATTGAAAAGGCCGATGAACGAAGTGAATGGGTGCATCATCTAGTTACAGTAGAAAAGAAGGATTTAGAAAGATCGCTGAGATTATGTATCGACCCGTCTGAATTGAATAAACAAATATTGGATGAACAATCGTATATTCCCACATTTGAAGAATTTTCATCGAGTGTGAATGGAATTAAATATTTTTCCGTGTTGGATTTAAAAGATGGTTTTCATCAAGTGCGCTTAGCAGAGGAGTCGCGTAATTTGTGTACATTCGCTACACCATTTGGCAATTATCGATACATTAGAATGCCTTTTGGCATTAAAACGGGTCCGAAAGTATTTCAAAGAAAGAATTTTGCTAATTTTGGTGACATTAAAAATGTGCACGTGTATTTTGATGACATATTTATTGTGGGCAAAACAAAACAAGAGCATGACGAAGCATTGATTAAAGTTTTAGAAAGGGCTAGAGAAAAAAATGTAAGATTTAATGAAAAGAAAATGCAAATTGCAAGCGAGTCGGTGAAATATTTGGGCCATATATTTTCGTTAAATAAAATTGAGCCAGATCCAGAAAGGTTAGAAGGAATAAGAAAAATGACGAGCCCGAAAAATAAAAAAGACTTACAGACATTTATGGGTGTGATTAATTTTATGAGGCCATTTGTTGCGAATTTATCACAGAAAGCAACTGTGCTAAGGGAACTGCTAAAGAAGAATGTGATATTTAAATGGACAGAGTTGCACACAAAAATATTCAATGACATAAAAAATGACATTTTATCGGCAAATATTTTGGTGCCTTTTGATTCGACAAAAGAACTTGTTATACAGTGCGATGCGTCTCAAGATGGATTGGGTTGTTGTCTGTTACAGGACGGTAAACCAATTTCTTTTGCGTCAAGAAGTCTCTCACCAACTGAGCAAAACTATTCACAGATAGAAAAGGAGATGTTATCGATTGTATTTGCATGCACTAAATTTAATTATTTCACGTACGGTCGAAAAATTCGTGTTGTCAACGACCATAAACCATTGTTGGGCATCATGCAAAAAGACATACACAAAATCGTATCGGCAAAATTACAACGTATGCGCATTAAATTGTTAAATTATGATGTCAATCTTGAATATGCACCGGGAAAAACCATTCATTTAGCCGATTATTTGTCGAGATATATAAATATTAGTGACGATAGTGAAGAAGAGACAAGCATTACACACGCCATATTGTCAATAAATGTAAGCGATGAAAAGAAGAGAGAAATGCAGAAAGAGACAGAAAATGATGATGTACTAAGAAAGGTAAAAGAGTACTGTAAAAACGGATGGCCAAATGATAAGAAAAAATGCCCAGAGCCCCTCAGATTTTTGTTTAGATTGAAAAATGATATTATTTTGGAAGACGATTTGCTATTTTATAATGAACGTATCATTATACCAAAAAACATGCGAAAATTAATTTTGAAGAAGCTACATGAGCCACATTTTGGCATAACGAAAACGATTGAGAGAGCGAAGTCCTCTGTGTATTGGCCGAATATAAATAATGATATTGAGCATGTAACGACCCGATGTAGAATTTGTCAAGAAAATGCACCTAAAAATAGGAAAGAGCCCATGATTCCGCATGAAATTCCTAGCGGCCCATTTATGAAAGTAGCTTGCGATATTTTGTATCATAAGGGGAAAGATTATTTAGTTGTTGTCGATTACTATTCAAAATGGATAGAATTGATAAAGTTAAGAGACAAAACAGCACGCACAACCAATCTCGAGTTAATAAAACTCTTTGCTCAATTTGGTTATCCACATATTGTAATTGCCGACAATATGCCTTTCGGATCGTTCGAAAGTAAAGAATTTACGAGAGAAAATGATGTGAAAATAATTAATAGTTCCCCGAATTACGCACAATCGAATGGAATGGCCGAAAGAATGGTGCAAGTCTGTAAAAATATTCTAAAAAAAGTCGAGCTCAGAGCAAGACATTTACAAGTCATTGCTCGCATACAGAACTACACCAACAAAATACATGAATCATACACCAGCGCAGTTAATGCAAAATCGTAACTTGAGATCGAATATTCCAATGCATGTCAATAAATTCAAACCATTTAATAGTGTCAACGTTGCGAAACAACACGAAAGAAAACAAACACTCTCAAAGAAGTATTATGATATTGGAACGAGACAACGAGCACCCTTCGAACCAAATGAAAAGGTTCTTTTCATAAATAATAAAAAATGGCAGCATGGCATAATTATTCAAGCCTGTGCTGAGCCTCGTTCGTACTTGATTCAATCTGAAGATAGAGTGTATCGCAGAAACAGCAACCACATTAAGAAATTTTTTGAAAACAAAACAGTAATAAATAACGACATTAATCGAAACACTTTCCAGCAGCCTTCACAGCAACGAATCACACGAAGCGGCCGACGATATTAGCATTAAGCAATTTTTTTTTTTTTTTTTGTTATTCTCAATTTCGTTGGTTTTTTTTCTTTTTTTCTGATATTTAAGAAGGATGGAATCGAATGAAAAAAAAGGATAGAACTAGATTTCATCCGAATGTCAAACTAAATGTAAGAAAATGAAGTAATTTTTTTGGAATGGAATTAAATGTAAATAAAGAATAAAATAAATTTCATTCTAAAAAAATGGGGGAGATGTAGCATAGATGGCGCTATACGCCGCCTCACCTGCGACAATGTAACTATCATATAAGAGCAAATAATAAAGACAGTCGTTAACTAGCATTCAACGGGTACACACTCATTCATACTACATCATCGATTAATGTGTTATTTGTAGCGAATGTTGTTAGGTGCTCTATCCACTTGATGGGTGTGTGTGCGTGTTTTTTTTTCTTCTCTGTTTATACTGTTAAAATGTGATTAAAGGCACTTTTGATTAAAAGCGCCAACGGCATACCATGTGTAATTACTTGATATTTTTATGGTGGGGCCGGATTGTTTGTTGTTTTTACTTCATTATTTCGTTCAATGTTACATTGAATAATTTGAGTCGAAAAGTCGTTTTTTTTCAATCAACAACGCATCGACGGATAATCGACGATGTCACCTAACAACAGCAAAAAGGACATTCCGCTTGGTTTTTGTGTCGCTACAAATAAAGCTCCAGTTTCGATTCCATTAATGTTACAAGAAAAAGCAATTAAAATAGAACAAAGCACCAAAAATGTATGTGAAAACGGTTGAAGGACACATGTAAGACTTGACAATTGAAATAATGGGAAAATCGTTTAAACTTCTCTTTCTCTCTCCCTCTCTCTCTCTCTCTCTCTCTCTCTCTCTCTCTTTCTCTGTATGTTTCCCAAAAATTATATTTCCCGCCCACACACTGTATAAAAAAAAATAGGCAGTGGGCACAGAGCTTTGTCTAGTATGTAGCAACCATCTAATATATCTTCATTTGCGGATGCAACGGCCAAAATGCTATCAATGTGCGCTTCCGAGGACAAATGGAAATTACAGATATATAATCATATTTGTGTGATTGTGCACTTATTTTATGTAATTCATTCGAATGTGATGAGGTCTTGTTTCCCAAATGCCCCACACATTTTTTTGCCTGCCACATTATCTAGTTCCGAAAATGTGATTACTTTATACAAGGGCGGCAACGATAACGATGACGAAGTCGAGAGAAGAAAAACATAACGGCTTTAAGACCGAGAAAAAGTTGATTTATTTCGTTGGTCGTGGTGTGAGGAAGCTGTTATGTTCATGCCATTATCGTCACCTTCTTATTCACTATTCAACAAAAAAAAAGAAAAAAACTCAACCGAGTGAATGAAGAAAAAATTGAATTGAAAAAAAAACAACAGCATAGAATACATAGAACGAAGCGTTCCAATTTCGTAACAATGCAATTTATTGTTAGGCTCATAAAAGAAGATAGCTTTAATTTCGAATGCAATATGTTTTGCGCTTTTCGCTCATATATTGCAATCGTGTCTGCCCGCCCGCTCGTCCGAATAAACCGAATTCGGTAAAATGTTCGGTTCCCTCTAAATGTTAATGTAATAGTTTATTTTGAAGATGCAGATGACACACACTCTGTGTGATTCACGTAGAAAGAAGCGAAAAGAATAATAAGAAGAAAACGGCACACGAATAGATATGTAAAGTTATTATCTGTTACTTGAATTGCAAATAAAATAATCAGCACGATAAAAAAGCATATGAGTGTGGCATAGATTTTTCGTAGTGCCGTGTGTGTATGTAGGAAGGTATAGAATGGAACCTTTGTCTACAAGATATGATGATGTACAGGTACTGGCACCAGCGCACAAACATACGCATCAGTCGGAGCGCGTCATCATTTGGCACTTAGAATTTATCTACAGATTGACGTCGCTTGGCATTTCAAAAAGCTTAATATTGGTTGTAAATGGTTGTAAAAATAAACGAGCACCGAAAAAATCTTAATGGATCCGTTTTTCCTTCTGTTTATTTTTCCTAATGCAATTTCTACACATATTATTCCATTTAAATAATGTATGTGTGTTCTTTTTTCTCGATTTTTTTCCCTTCATCTTCCCATTCATCGCGTTCCATTCCACTTTTTTTTCTACTGTTGTTGTATAGTTGCTGCTGAGCAGCATTTTTTATTATTATTGTTGTTGTTGTCATTGTTGTTCATTGGTATGTATATTCATCTCGAATATTTTCTCTCTTTTTTTGCGTGTGTGCATATATTCACAGTGGCAGTTGTCGTGGCGTTCTTCTTTTGTTGGGCACCATTCCACGCACAGCGCCTGGTTGCTTTTTATGGGAACAATCAGTTGTTCGTTTACGCCGTCACCACATATGTTTCGGGGATATTATACTATTTATCAACGTGCATAAATCCACTGCTGTACAATATTATGAGCAATAAATTCCGTGAAGCATTCAAGGTATGTCGACTAAAATTTAAAAATTACATGCATTCCTTTTATTTTATCGTTGTATTTTCTCTTCATTTTTGATTTTGGTATTTTATGCTCATTCTCTCTGTTCCTCTTTTTCGCCCTATTCAAGTTTATCATCCAATTTTCATTCATTAATTTTTCAAATATTCATACGGTACATCAAAGTAAACATTTCAGTTCAGTTCATTTTATTGATCCATTTCATTATGTTCTTCATATACTTTATATACTTATTTTTTTATTCGATGCTATTATACTATTCCTGGTATTTAATGCGATCGACACGAGTCATCAATGAATTTCTTCAATATCAAAATTCTTCAACCGAAAAATGCGTACTAATACAGCTAATTTAATTTTAGTCTGTTTTGTTTAGGAGACGTTGGCGAACTTCTGCCAATTATCGGCAGGAGGCAATAGCGAGAAGCGTGCCTACCGAATATTGTCGCGCAGCCAGCGAAGATGGAACAGCAATCAAGAATCAGGAAACTATTCTGGTAAGCATTTAAGCATTTCATTGATTGTTTTTGACCAAAAATAGAAGCACACCCACCACATGTTTTACAACGTTTTTTCAACGAATGAACTTCATCCACCCATCCATCAGAAGAGTGTTTGTTAAATGATTTTGATAAAATGTTATTTTTAAACTTTTATTTTCATTCGATGTAACAATAGGTAGCTCAATCCGAGACGAAAGTTTGCACTCAACCCTTACTCAAAAACAATCGATCGATTCGATGACCTTGTCACGTGGCCACTCATTCAAAATCCAATCATCGAATCAATTTAAGCTAAAATCGAATTTTAAAAGCAAAACCAACGCCATAATTCAAAGTCAACAAAGTGTTGAATTACCGATTGAACATACTGAAAACGCAACGAATAAGAATATTATGTATAAAAATCGTACCATAAAAAAATCCGAGCCGAATCTATACGCATCGGAAATTGATTTGGATGCTCTGCACGCAAATGCTGCCATACCAATGGCTGAACATCGAAATCAACAGTCAACTGGGGAGATGCTATCAATGGCTGCGAACATCGAAACGGACAGCAAAAAAATTCGATTGACAATCACACCAATGCACGTACAGTCACGACGTAGCAAACAAAATGTGTGCTATAACAAACTACGACGATCGACCACTCGGCCCAAAATTTTGCGCACATGGTTCAATTGGTTTCGTCCCCAGAAAAATGCAGCTTTTTACAGTCCACCACTTGAACATCCAACAAAAGGAATCAAAATTAATATTCAAACAAATGACAATTCGAATGGCATCCGGACCGCTGTCAACGTTGAATCCTTGTCATCGAACGAGGACGAAGATATTAGCAACATCAGTTTGAGAAATGTTGATCGGGCCTCACTGAAAGACGAACTGGCCGCATACATGGACGAAATTCGAGCGAGGGAAAAAAGATAGCAACGAAATTATCATCATCATGATGATAGCCGAAGTACATCATCGGCACTGTAGCATCAAACGATTCTTTCTTTTTTCGTTTAAAGATCGAGATTTATGTGTGATGCGGATAAAACTACATCGAAATTAAGTTGGTGATAAGAATATACATAAGTGCGATGTTTTTTAGGTGATAATACAGGTCAACTGCATTTCTGAGGCAAAATCAAAGATTTAAGACTATTCAATCATTTTGTTCTTGTCTTTCTATCGATCAATCGAATAGTGTGCATTTCAGCTGATTCGATAAGGCTTTATTTTCTGTTTTTGCAACCGGTATGTAACTATGCTGGCAAATAGTCAATCAAGTCTTCAAACAGTTTAGTGTATAAGCTAAGGAAAGAAAAATAAAATTAAAAAAACTATTAAACTGTGATAGAGTTAAGGATGTTGATATGCTTGGTCAAAGAGTCTAAACGATCAGCAGATTTACTTCATTTCAAATTTTTGGATACATCAACTGCTAAAAAACACGAAGAACACCCACATATACGTAGTCTATGGCTAGTTAGATAGGATGAAAGTAAGCGAGCGAACGAGCGAGCGTATGGGGAGAACTGATGCAAAAACTCAGTTCATTTAACGGTTCGATTGAGAATGTGCACATTGTACATTTCAAACATTTCAAACATTTCTCAACAAAATTGAAACAATAAAGGTTTCCAGAGGCATTTACAATGCAGCACTGCCAGAATTGTGTATCTTATATGGTATCGTCTATGCCTATAACCGCCTTTAATTATCTTTAACATCTTTAATTATCTTTTGGTTGATACGTACAAAGTATAAATCAAAGTGGAAATGCCCCCCTTGAAGTAGTATTTCTGCTCTCTACTGGCAACATACCACGTTCGTACACAAGACGCTTCTGGCGTTGTGATACGTATGCTGTACTTTATGTGTGTATTTTAATATATTTAATGTACTGAAAATGAACCGTATACCAAGTTGTTCATTTAGGCGAAAAAAAACAGCACGAAGACGACACGAACAGGGGATAGAGAGTGAGCAAGCAAGCGAGCAGCGCAAATAAATTGTCATGGTAACTCGCTTAACGTCTACTATGTATAAATGTTTAAGCACCACAACGGTGTTGATAAATTATAAATATTTTATTCGATTTAATTGTTTCCATATTTGGTCCTGGTTTTTTGTTTACTAAAATGGCGAAAGAATTCCAAAATGAGTAATTACAACGAAGCGCAAACAAAGCTAAGAATAAATTAAAATTGATTTCAAAGCGTGGCGTTAATTTTTTTTCTGGAGGGTAGATGCGTGGGCAATAGCGGAGGCGGTAATGTTCGCGTGTGAGTGTGTTATGTACTTTATTCACGATGGAGTGAAAATGAATGCTGTTATTTCGGCTGCAAATTATGTTTTTTTTTTTTTTGGTTGGTGTAAAATATGGCAACAATATAATCAAAACGGAGGGAAACAGACATTTCCCGCCACAAAATATGTATCGCGTTATTCATCAGGTGCGCACACATGCAACCAGTGTGCTGAAGAAAAAACCAAATAGAATGGAAAGAAGAAGGAAAAATACGAACGAAAGAAGATAAAGTGACGATGATATAATGTCATTATTGTTTTTATTGGAAATTCTTGACGATATTTGATAGTATTCATTGGATCAATGCATGTCTAATGTCTACCTAATGAACGAATTGATTAGGTGATTTTCAAACTCTAAAATGAAGAATCAATTTCTGTTTCTAGAAATCGACCAATCCAAACAAATGGATACAATAGGGCAGACAGAATAATTAAATGCTTATGGCATATTTAAAACAATATTGAAATGATTGTTCACTGTTGAACATTAGGTTTCTAGTTTTACTATAGGTTTCAGAATGAATAAGCGGTATCATATTGACAACAAAAATGATGCAATTAAATTCAATTATTTTTTTTTTTCAATATACTTTGGCATTTTTCTTTCTACGATCATTAAAATGGCTTGAATACACAGTTTCACTTGAACATCAGCATTAAAAGAGTCGATGGAAATTTACACTCGGTAGGTACTAATAAGGATACCTAACTATTAAGTTTCAGAAGAAGAGAAACAATAGATAATATGCAGTCTTTTGTTTCACTCTATCTCTCTCTCTCTCTCTCTCTCTCTCTCTCTCTCTCTTTATTCAACTCACAGTTTTTTCTGGTTCCGCTTGTTTTATTTCTCTTGCTTTTTCTTTGTTCTTGGAATTACTCACTGATTTACCGAATAAACATCACAATGGAATGGAAAAAGGGATAAATGTAAAGAGGATGCTGCTAAATAAATAGTATTTCGGAAAAGAGATAATTCAAAGTGGGAAAATGTTCAAGAGAAACATGATATAATACATTTTCAGTTTGAATTCTTTTCAATTAGCTCCACCAACAAGGAATTCACCATTAATACCAATTTTCGCTGTTCTTGGAACCATTTTCCATGTTGTAGAACTGAAAACAAAAATATAAATGGTGAATCAAGTTTCAATTAAGATAAAAAAAGCCATGGAACTTGAGCTTTCGGTATATGCAACGCAAGCTCAAACAAATCAAAAATATTTTCATTGCGGAAAAACTCAGAATAAAATCTTAGATAGAACTGTTATGTTTCCATTGGCTTTGAAAAATGAACGAATGATAAAAATGTCAATTACAATCAATCGCCCTTTTTCAATAGAACTTTGAATTTTTCTTCCACTTGCATTTCTTCTTCTTTATTAGCTTTGATAAAATTGGGTTGTGTTTGGAATGCAATGGTTTTCGTATCTAATTCGGGCAATAAAACCTGAAGAAATACCTTATTCGTGTTGGAACTCGATAACTATAAAAGAATCGGCATTTTTCAACGAAGTTATGCATAACATTTCTCTTTTAACTTTGCTCAGTTAGAATGTTTCTTTTTTGATGGCAACGAGCGTGTCTCATTCTAGTGGAAATTAATTTAGCCAGCTTTGTTGTTCCACTTGAGATAAATGCGTAGAAGCAAGAAGAATTCGTATTTGAAAAGAGGAAAGAGAGAATAGAATTCATTACCGATAAATGATAAGTAAAAAAAAGACATTAAAAGCATTCTACAGAGTTTAAAACAGTGTTAGTGAATGCTTTTGAACGGGAAGATGGCGATAATGGAATGAAAACAAGTGTATGGGTATGTGTGTCTTAAGATGATACAGCGCAAATCACTGGAAACTGGGATACACACATTTGATTATTAGCATACTCTTTCTCTTTCTCTCTCTCTCTCTCTCTCTCTCTCTCTCTCTCTGTGTGTGTGTGTGTGTGTGTGTGTGTGTATGTATTTATCTCTTGAATTAATATGGTTCTTTGGAATGAAACAATTTGAGGCGTACAAAGTTACATATTGTTTCGATTTGCTGAAACGTTTTTGTGCGGATCAGTCCATTATCCTTAAATAATGATACACATTCAAGTGTTTATTGGGTAAGATATTTAATGTATTTATTTTGACGGCTAAACCATGCTCTCGCAAATGGATGAAAAACCATGGAAAAGTGACGCTCTCTTTCCCATGCTACCAATACAGCCGAAACTGAATATGTGATGTAAAATTTTCCATCTCAGACATAACATCCTATTGAAATAAAAAAAAACAAAGTCCAAATATTTCATGATCCATGACGAAAAATATGAAAATTTATTGTCCACATTAATTTTGGGCAGAGCAAATTTACTTTTTATATGGTCTGTGTCATTTAATTACAGTTAAAGATAAGTGAACGATACGATATATGGCACAAACAAACACACAATCGCATGCCGTCACACCATCTCGATTTAAAACATCTGACGAAAAATTTCGATGACGCACACTTGCGTTCGACTGATGCTCATATTTTTGCTCCATATCGAACAGCGATGGTGGCAATGGGCCAAATTACAGTGCAAAATGTAGAATTAACATCAACAATAATTCATTGAAGCTTCATCATCTGTACGGCCCAATATTTTCCATTCGAGTCTCCCGTCGCCTGTTCGTCAACCAGACCGCGTCCTCCCATTTGTCCATTCAATAAACAATCATATTGCTTCCGCAGCTCTCTTCATACAATCTGTATGGCGCTCTTTTTATAAAAAAAAAAAGAAACTTTCTATAACGTTTTTCTTCGTTTTCCCTCATTCTCTGTCGAATTTTATTAGTTGGTATACGTATCATGGCCGTGTTATAAATAATTTGTATACAGCTCGAATATCCAAAAGAACTTCACTCGTTTTCCCATGCTAATCGCCATCCGCGTTTACGATATTTTCTTTCCCATTTTTCGCTTTCACTTTCGCTTTCATTTTTGCTTTCACTCTCGCTTTCGAAACGTATCATTTTAATACACGTCTGCTCTGCGTTCGGTGGATTTACAAATTTTTAATTAAATTTGAATACATTGGTGCGAACATTATAAATTTGAATATTTTCCTAACACAAAACATTGTCCATGTAATCTATAGATATGCCGAGGGCAAAACTTTCGTGTTTTCGTCGAACAAAAAGAAAATGAGAAAAAGAAAGCAAAAAAAAGAGAAACGAGCAAAACGTTTACATTGATTCAAAAAACCGCAGAACGAACAAGGGAAAATCATGACGAAAGTCATTGACGCCAATAGAACGACGACTTGAAACATGAGGCACACGCACACACACACACACAAACGCGCTATTTCGCTTTAATATGCAAACAGTCGTAATAAAGTACAAAGAAAAAGATATGAATTTTATGGGTCTTTTTTGACTCGGTCTGTTTCTCTTTCGCTATCTCTCTCTCCATGTGTACTCAGACCAAAATGAAAGATTTGTCCATTTTTTGTCTATGCTCCTCTCTCTCTCTCTCTCTCTCTCTCTCTCTCTCTCTCTCTTCCAATCTCTTTACACCCATTGTTATACATATTTCGTCTTCATTTCGTGCATGTCCGGCAAATTTGGCTACGGCATTGTATATTCACCGTAAATGATATGTACAACAAATACAATAGAAACATTCATTATGATTATTACCTAATGCTTTCGAACATCATTTTGTGGGATACATTTTCTTATGGCTTTGGTCTTTTACGCATTGTGCTCTTGATTTTAATTCGACGTATACATACGGGCAATGAATAGGCCGAGATCCGGTGATGTATGCACACTTTATGAAACGCTAATAAAGGTCATTTAAAAGCAGGCAAATTGTTTTTTTCCGCATCATATTTCGTATGGGGTGTCATTGTAGTGACAACCCGAACAATCAACAAATTTAATAGCCCATGAACGTTCTACTACCAAAACGCGACCAACGGCATCAGTAGCAGTGACGTCTGTGCCGGCAACCATTCTCATCATCACACTGAATACGACCTACTCAAATACACTGGGATGTGCTGGAAGTGAAAAAAGTTGAACGAAATGTCATTTGCAATTCAAACAACATAACACATTTGATTGCCATGAATACCTCTCTCATTTGAATTCATCGGGCCAACTGTCTAGTTTGTATATATTTAGGATATCGGTTGACGGATAAAAGGCGGATTGATTTCATTTAGTGTTTCAACTTATCCGTCAAACGCACGCAGTGCCCCGAATTTCGATAGCAACGGCTGCCTGACGAGTGTGCTCTATTTGAAAGTTAAACATCTAAAACATGTTCCATGGAAATTTATGCTGGAGGTAAAGATATGCTAGTCAGATCCAACGACTGCCGGAGATGCTGTTAAATGGATTCGACGGTATTAAAAAAAATTGACATTCATTATCAGCTCTTGTTGACTGGGACGGTGCAAAATCAAATTTCAATGAACATGTCGAAAATCTTCAATCACGGTATTCACATGTGGTTCTTTTTCATTTGTACAATGTTTGTAGATCACTTTGCATTATTGAGCAAAGTGGTCTCGCACCCATATGTTATGGAGTACTGCAATTCTTAAATCTAATCGTACAATTTCCGAGAAGACAAATTAAATATTTGTTATTTTCTCCCATCATCAATGACTACAGGTGGCTCAGGCGGGCCGATATCTTTACATCAACTTAGATTGCTGTTTTGCTCATTTTAAAATGTACATTATGTACCTTCAATCGACAGACGCCAACAAATATTCTCTTGAACATTCTCTTGAAAGAGATATATGCTGACCTCTCGACTTTTCTTTCGATTCTACAAATGAAACATCACCATCAATGGCTTGCATAAGCTTTTCTTTGGTGCACGATATTTTTTTCCACCTAAAGAATAAAATAAATGTAGAAAATTGTATAGCATCTAGCATTTCAGTGTCCACAAATTTCATTTCTTATTTTACGTATGCTTTGATTGCAGGAGGTTTGATGATTTTCCACCAGTAATTTTTCTTTCGTGGGCATCGGAAACTAGAAGGGAAAAAAACCTTTTCTCTGTTTTTTCTTTTCTCCAATCCATATATGCATGCGCTTCGGAATGTATGACACAGCATAGGCATTCGACGTTTTATTTATTATTTATTATCTCGTATAAAGCGCTTTTTATGGCTAAGTCGTCGGATAGTGTAGAAGGCACAACGGTCTTTGGACACACACGCACACACACATGTCTAACACGAAATTTGTGTGTTATTTATTTATTTGTTGTTGTTCACAATCGCTGAGACTTCCGGACAAAATAGATTTGCACAGATTTCGAGCGAAAAGTACACACACAGTAATGTTAGTTCTACAGGAATGTCATGTGAGATATAACAGACATCACGAGCTTTTCCAGTGTCACCCAATAAAAAAGCACTGAAAAGATTTGCTCGATTTCATTTTGAAAATTAGATGTCAATTTCAGTTATTTTTTTTTCGGGAAAAATCTTTTGTTTCTTGAGTTCAATCGAATACGCGTTTCGTAGAATGCTTTTCGTGAGCATCCCAATTTAAACATACATCAGTACCAACAGCGATTTTGTTTGTAAGGTTCAACAAGATAAAAGAAAAAGTTCACGAGGACTTTCGTGAATATTGAATAATCAGAGGATTATTTGAATAGATAGAGATAAATTGGAGAGATGGACGCTGTAATTGGAGAAATGGAGAGATGGAGAGAAGCCCCTCGCATTTGATCCAACCAAAACCACTTTGATAAATTTATCGAACTAGGAATCTCAAAATAAATTGGTTCAACCAATCCGGTAACGGTTCATGTACCACACACTAGAGTATTTTGTGGTATTACCAACTTTCACCACATTCTGTTCAAGTTAAATTTCTGGCATATAACAAATGCGAACATAACGATTTCCTTTTTCGCTAAAATAAGAAAAAAAGGACAAAATTCAAACAAGATTCGGAATCGAGAATATCTTGTTTGCTAAATCGAAAGTCTTAGTTGCTTCATTCATACTGACTGGGAAAATGGATGGTTTTGTCATGAAACGAAATCAAACGAAAAACATAGTACATATTGCCATATCAACGACTGGCAGTCGTCGACTGTGCACATCAAAGTCAAAATATTGGAACTATTTCAAAGCTAATTTTATGCACATTACAAAATAATTTTGCTTTCAGTAATTGAGCGCATTAATTCTAAGTATCGTGGGAGTAAAGGTAAATTCGGAATGATTTGTGTCAATTAGATATCAAATTGATTTTCCTTTGTGTCATGAAGCTGCTCAAATGGCAATGTATTGCGACAAATTGATTAAATCATCAATGTGATAATTTACGAAAGCCAGAAAAAAGAGAGAGAGAAAGAGAGAGAGAGAGAGAGAGACACCCACGCACATGTACCACACACATATCTGTGGTGTGAAAATCGATTTGTCTGGATAATTATTTTTTTTTTCTGGTAATGCTTCAATGAGAGCTTATGCTCTTTCGGTGAAATCAAATGAAATGGATTACTTAATCTGACAGTAAAAATATGCGTGACAGCTAACGAACGATACAACTCATTCAAATCGAATACATTTGTCAATCTAAATGTATATCTAACAACCGTTTGCACACAGTTAATTGAATCAATAAAAATCAATTGATCCATAAAATTGTTGGTTTAATGCAAATTCAATTTTACCACCAAACGCATTCCAAACTAGAATATATCTGATACGTTGTTGTACAACATTGTTGCATATATCACTCGTTTGATGGGATTCCGTTCCACTGAAACGGTTGCAATGTCTTTGTATGTATTTTTTTTTAGTGTCTTACAATATTTGAATGTTTTCCGAACAGATGCCGGCATCTTCACTCCTCACACAATGTTCGAATGTGTTGAATGCAATAAAGATTCAACTTAAAATTCAAGAGATAACACATTGGTTGCCTCAGAATGCGATTCATTAAGCAACATTCAGAATATCTTAACCCTGAAATTGCATCTGCCTCAGGCCCGACTCAACGATGCTGAGCACTACCACAAACCTTAGTCACGCTACGGTACTGATTTGCTTATTATCATCCACATCCATAAAACCGACGTATTTGTTGATCGTATGGCATGAGCAAAATGAAAAACCACCACATCCAGCTGTAGCCTTCCGGTTATTTGACATCGATTTGGATTGGAATGGAATCTGTAATTTGTCACACCATTCGAAGCAAATGCAAAATGTTGGTTCTCTTCAATAAGCATACTGAAGAAGACGACGACGACGACGACGACGACGACGACGACGACGACGATGGCAATAACGACGACAAAGATGATGACGATGAAAATGTGTATGGTGGAGTAGTGCTAGGCATTGAAAAGTGAAATGAAAAGAGAGAATAAAAACTCCATTTACACACAGACCAAATCATTTTGTCTTGAGTTGTGGTTGCAGTCGTGGTTGTTTGTATCTAACGATCAAATTATTTGATTGTTGGAATAACGTAAGTGCCAAAATGTGACGGAGATTAACAGAAACGATTCGCAAGCACACATATACAATGTGTATGTATGCATGTCTTCTGAGAAGACTCTTCTCTAGTAGTATCCTATTATGTGCAGAAAAAACGGTTCATATTGTTGAAAATGATTACGTTTGCTGTTTATGTATTCACCCATGGAACAGAAATATTATCTGTCTAATCGGCTAACCAAAGAGAAAAAAAAGAAAAAGAAAAAGAAAACGAGAGAAATAGGCCGCAAACAATGGAAATGTTTGGCAAAGTACACATTTTAAATGTGTGTTTACTGGTGTTGAGAAGCAGCAGTAGCAACCGCACCAAGGATAAAGACCCAAAAAATGTAAAATTCCCTTCCATTTGAAATGGTAATGATAATGTTTGCTAATCAAATGATTTTGGAGCTTAGCTTCTGCATAACAGTGTGAAGAAGACAAAGCAAACAACGAACACGTCACTGTAATTCGAGCAAGTACGGTCATGTAAATAAATAAAGTGACGATGAACAAAAATCAATAGCTGAATTTTTCATATAACGATTGTATAAACGTTGCAATCAGTGCAATCGATAATGTGAATTGTTAAAAAAAAACACACTATTCGGTTGTTTTCGATGAGTTTGTTGTTCTTACGTCTTTTATCGCTTTGGAGACACAGTCATCAGTGTTTACTTCTGTGTCACACAATTCGTTCGAAGTTCATTTTCCAGTCGTACTCGAACGCATTTTCCCATTCTTTGAATTCTCATTTGTATGCAAATGCAAATGATATGCTTCTAAGTATCAGAATATCCTCTGCTATCATCAAACACTCACTTCCCGAAAATATAATGAGCGAATCAATGGCGACGATAGATATACATGTAATCGGATATTATGATCAACGCAAGTGAACTGCGTCAATGTAAATTCAGGCCAAAAATTGTTTTAGCCATTAGTTTCAACATTCAATAGCAAATTGCAAAGTACGTTGAGAGAAGAAAAAAAAAAGTTCGTTCGTCCAGATATGATTTTAGATAGAGATTTGGTTACAAATTTCCATTTGTTATTCGTGGCTCTACTTTTACTACTACATACTATTATTATTATTATTATTATTATTCTGTTTACAAACATCGATGTGTGCTATTGATTTTGCATGGCTATGAAACTCTAATCAAAAGTATATTAGGAACTTTAGACGAGACTGAAATTGGGCCGCAACCGATGTCTGTTGATACCTATTTCATTTGCTCACGTCACATCATCACCAAGTTATTTGAAACGAGCGAGTTTTTCCGGTTGCTTTCGTATTTCATACTGAAAATGAAAACAATCTGTTTCGTCGAACAAACTGGTTTGCCAACCGAATTTCATCGAATTTTTCGAAATTTAATACTCAATCGCATTGTGTTAATTATTTCACTGGAAATTTTTTTTCAAATTGATATATGTGTACCATGCATGAACAATATTTACAAATACCATTTCATCATTCAAACAATACCTATCATTTTCAAAGTGAGGGAAAAAAATGTTTCGTTAAAAAATATTTCACCTGTGAATTTCGTTGGAAAATAATTTTTTAAACGAGATTCAGCCACGCGCGTGCAAGTGAAATTTGTCAAACAACGTCATTGAATGTATTGAAATAACTTGAACAAACGTCAACTTTGACATTTGCACAAGATTCCATGTGAAATGTTTCAATGTAAAACATATCATATCAGTGTTTTTATCAAAAATATTTGGGTAAATGATGGCTCACGACGAATCTCCGGACACGAAACGCGCCAAAATGGAAGTAAAAAATGAGATGATATCAACGGGCATAACAACGACTTGCAAATTCTTTGTGAAACGTAAAAAACGCTATTGTAAATTGACACCGGCACACGGTGAAGAATATTGCGGTGAACATATGCCAGTGACAACACTTCCACCAGATACCATTGACACAACTGATTCGATAAATAAACACAAAGTTCGTGTACCGTGCCCATTGGATCCAAAGCATACCGTGTGCGCGAGGAAACTGCATAAACATTTGAAAATATGCAATGCGGTCGAAAAAGATCGACCAAACTATATCGTGCCCGGACTGAATGCAGGAAAAGACGACGATGAAGCAATTGATAACCAAACGGACTTCAAGTTGACAGACGTCGATAAAGACACTGTCGATAAAATTGTTGAAAAAGTCAATAAATTATATGCATTGCATAAAATTGAGGAGAAAATCGACGAGTTGACGGTGAGACATCCGTTGTTGGCATCAGAAATAAACAACACCGAGTATGGACACGAAACGGTGCGACACTTGATACAAACGTCCATCGTTCTCGGTTATTTGGATCACTTTAAACTCTTCGACGATCACATTAGCTACGTGGAATATGGTGCGGGCAAAGGTCAAGTAGCATTCTGGTTGGCAAAAGCAATAACCAATTATCCAAACTCCAATGTATTACTTATCGATCGGGCGTCAGTAAGGCATAAAAAAGATAATAAATTGGACGATTCACATGCGGTGCAACGGATTCGTGCTGACATAGCTGATTTCGATATCAGTGCCCATAGTTTGATTCAAAATTCCAAGAAAATCGTCGGAATCGGAAAGCATTTGTGTGGTGCGGCTACTGATTTTGCCATACAATGTTCAATTCATGGAAATAATGCGGTGAAAGATGGTGACAATGGGCCAAAAACCATAGCCATGCTGATAGCCTTGTGCTGTCATCACCGCTGCGAATGGAAGCATCTTGTGGGAAAGGAATTTTTCAGTCAGAACGATGTGAGTGCCAAGGAATTCGCAATCATTACGAAAATGGTTGGATGGGCCATTTGTGGCACAGGTATGAGCCGGGAGAAGCGTAAACAGATGAACGAACAACACGCAAACGACGGCAGCACGGCAGACGATTTAGTCAAAGAGGAGGATCCAAATTCAGGCAAACGCGATCGCCATCAGCGCAAAGAAATCGGCCAGAAATGCAAACGACTTATTGATTATGCTCGAATCTGTTACATGCAACAAAATGGCTTTAACTGTTCATTAAAACGATATGTTAGCTCTGATATTACGTTGGAAAATATTTGTCTTGTTGCAATACATGAAAATCAATAACAATTTCTTTCTTCTACAAAATATTCGTAAACAAAATTTAAAATTAAAAAAATAAAAATAATAATAAAAAGGATATTGAAGAAACGCTGCTTAATTTTAAATCATTTGAAGACAGCGCACTATGGCGTATATTTACAGTTTGTTTGTTAATTTAGCTAATCATCAAATGTACCAGAATTTTTTTTTTCTAATTTATTTTTGTTTTCTGTTAAATGAATTCGCAAATGAAGGCAAGTCGGTTCTTAAATGGAACCATTCCAATTTGTGCTCTGGCTTCCACTTCCGATGTGGCTGGAACTTTGGCTGTGTGCATTTTGTTGCTGTTGCTGTTGTTGTTGTTGCTGCTGCAGTTCGTAAAGTGTTTGATTCACGATTTGGCGTAGCATATGTGGTTTGCAATGCTCCTCTAACCATGGCAAGACACCGGTGGCCAATTCGGCAAAATCGCTCATCGGAAGAAGTTCAAATGTCTGGAACATTTCGTCGATAATAGCCTGGAACTGATTTTGGACATGAACATTTGGCTCGAATATCAATTCAATATGCTTCCCATTAAATCGTAGAGATTCACTTACCACATTGAATTTTATTTCGTCACTGACCCTCGTCTCCTGTTGACCGGGCGATTGCTGTTGATTTTGTAACATATTCTCGTAACTACTTTGGATTATGCGTAATGCGGTCACTTCTTTTTGTAAAGCGGAGCGTTCATCCTCTTGTTTCTTTTTCTGTTGATGTAAAAATCCGATATAGTCTATCGAACGTTGCAGCACCTGAAATTGCATATATTTTGTGTGTGTGTGTGTGTGTGTGTGTTTAGTGTTAAAACTAATAGAAAAATAATTGCCAACTGCTCAATTCCAACAGTAATGTTGATTATATACCGTTGCTTTGCTCAACTTGTAGCCAGATGTTTCGTTTTGTTGGCATGTCGGTACTAAATCTTGTAGCGAATCATAACCCCGTTTGATGGCATCCCGACGCTTTTGTTCGGCCTGTGTGTGTGCTTCGCGACGTCGTTCTTTGTAGCTCAACGATGTGTTTTTCGTGTTTTCACCACCGCTGTCATCATCATCATCTAAAATCCAACGAAACGATTTAATACGATTCAAATTCAAGTGCTTTTCATTTCCATAATTGATTTATTCCAAGAAATGTGCTCTAACCCGAATTGTGTGCTGATGAATTTGATGTGATAACACTGTTTGTACTGCTACACCTAGAGAATTGTTGTCTCTTATCTGTCGGGCTGGATGGTTCCATTTTCATTTCCATTTCTAAATTCGGATAAAACATGGTTGAAATTAATGCAAAATTGGCCAGTTCAGAATGCTTCTTTTCGGTCGATTCGTCAATGTCGTTACGGAATTTCATCATTATCAGTACTCTCTCATTGACAATTGTAAGCATTTGATAATGAAATTGAACGACATAGAAACAAAAAAAAGTGCGTTTTGACTTTTCGCACAATTGCAATTTTAACCTACCCATTTTGTTTGAAAAAAATGTGTAAACAATGTTTTAAATGCTAAATAAATTTTGAGCTTTTCGTTGAATTTGACGCGTCTTATAATTTAGTCGAAACTACTTTATTTTCCCTTGTTTTTTTGCTTTATAAATAAATAGACGGGGAAAAAAACAACACAATGGAGCAGTCAACACGTTCACTTCAATCTTCTGTCAAATCGTTCAGGAGCAGCGCCATCTTTTGGATATAAACATTTCAATGATTTCGTCGTCAACTGCGGTGTATCATAAGAATGACCAAAAATGGAATAACAACCCAAAAATTACATTTTCCAATTTGATTTTATTTAAAAATTAATAGGCTGATCTCGTTTCTATTGTACACGGCCTTTATTTACAGACGAATTTATATCAAAAATTTATTCTCATAATATTTTTTCTCGTTTCTTTCTACTTGAATATTTCTAAGAAAACCAGTTTTACTTGATGTTTTGCGTTTTTTTTTCTCTCTTTAGACGAATGGTACAAATTCCTTTTCTGAACAGTAGCTTCACTCCAATTAATTTTCGTGCGGATTTATTGAAAATGTTTTAAGTAAAAAAAATGAAGAAGAAAAAATAAATAAGCCGAAAAAAGGGAGAAAAGAAGAAAAATTGATTATCGGCTGCATTCCTCGTGTTGCTAACTTGTACCAAGTGTGTATTGTGGAAAAAATAAAGTTAACCACTTATATAGGATGAGAAGTACATTAGCGAATGTGTCTAGTCGATAAGTTTCTTCGCCTTGAAATATCTTCGTAAATAGAGCACCTGCCAGGTAGCCAATCCCAACAAGCAGCACATACTGAAAATGCTGAAAAACAACACTCGATTGTTGGTCGATTCTGCGAATAAAGAAGAGAAAAAAATGATTCATGCGAATAACATGAGCATGGGATCAAGTCTGATTGCAATATAAAAGTCTTACCGTTGGTGCTTCGCATCTCTTCTTCACGCTTACGAGTAGCGGCAAAGTCTTGAACGATGGCATCCGACATATCTTCCAAACGTTTGAGATCCACTTCCAATGGTTTAAATTTACCGGCCTCTTCAATCTACATTCATACGATACGAAGATTGGAATGAATGAAAAAAGAAATGATTAGTGAATGGAATATGAATTGGAATTAGGCATGCAACTCAGAGACGGGATCAGGTTGCGATTAATGTGAAAACACACATGAAAGCTTTATTAAGACACTGTCAAGCATAGATGCGCTATCAAGTTTGACGAATAAACTGAACAAAAATCATTCACAGATGTTGCGGATGATTAATTGATAGGAATCGGGATAAATGACCAAACGAAAACATTTGCAAACACAAATATTTACCATATATCTGTGGAAGCCTATCTTTAGTTGTTTTTTGCGAAGAAAAACAAAATAAAATCGATTTGAATCCCTTTGAAGAAAATCAATTTTGTTTCAATACTTACACCTTCGTAGTTTCTAGCTTCAACTCCTTTTTTAGTTGTAATTGACACTTCGTGCTCTTGTCCACGAATGCCTAATAGTAAATGAATACAATGGAATGTTAATCGATTTGGACGAAAGCAAAAGTCAACGTCAACAACCGGCTTCGGTCTATTTACCTGGACTAACGTGAGAAATAATGCAAAGATCATAAGTATCTGCGACTTCAGTGGTGAATGAGGCCTTGGCTTGATGGCTCATTCCTTCTTTCTTTGCCAAAATAAAGTTCCTTGAGTCTCGAATCTGAAATGATTCACATCATTAAAATGTGATGATTTGGCTAATGACGATTTTGCAATCTCTCAAAATTGTTGGTTCCTTTATTTGCACAGCTCTACACAGCCAATTTCATATCCAATGTATTTGGTAATGAAAACTTACCTCGTAATCAATACGTTGGCCAGGCGCATCCGACACCTCAAATTCAATAACAGTCAATTGATGGGCCTGAACTTCATCTTTGAAGCACTTTTGTGTGTTCGGATGATGGGTATACCGGACGCCGTGTACATTATGGCCAAATAAAAACACCAACAATATCGACAACAGACCGTAATCCATAATAATTTCTTTCTTTTTTTATGTTAATTAATTTCCTAACGAGTTAATACAAACTAACTATCTAGGCTTGCACCTAAAAACTGTGTAAATAGAATAAGATTGATGAATCGAGTAGCCGAGTTTCGTGTACTTTTCGCCTATTTACCATGACAATCTGAAGTTTTACGTGGCTGAAACGCCATTGAAAGTGTATTGAATGTACGAAGTTTATTTGTCAAAATAGACATTGTTGGCATTTTACAGTGGATGCGTTCAATGAAACTTGCCACTGCTATGAGCTGACCGAGATAGATATATGGTCTATCGTTCACGTTGAGAATTTATAATTTTTGAATAATAAAAACACAGTTTAGAAATCTCTTTCTGGTTCTATAATAATTCTCTAGTCAAAATTGAAATTTCATTCAGGCAAATACCAAATGAATCGACAGTGCCGAATTTCAAATATGAATAATGAGAAACCAACGTTCAATCTTATTTGACTCTTAATATTAGACATTCTTGACAATTGTTGCAATCTCATTAGTCGAGATACCATTGACGTTTCATCAATTTGACAGCTGAGTATGGTTGGTTGGTAGAAAGTAACCAAGGCGCATATCCATATCGGTGAATATCTTCTTTCGTTGAGCGAGTGGTCGCACGCGCTCTATCCGTGTATGCCATAGAAAACACAAAACACAAATACCACATCCATATTATATGGCAGCGTAAACAGTGCGACAGAAGAAAGAGCCATGAATCAAAGTGAAACGCCAAATACCCATACATGTTGTGGCCGCGCGCAATACACGCTCAACTCGGTATCAGTATCAGCAGCAGCAGCAGCAGCAGTAGCAGCCGTACTACGATATGACTGACAGAGAACGTCGACTGACGAATCGCGCGAATGAGACAAACGTAACGGGGCTAACGATAACGACAGGCTAAAATGTAAATACACACAGGCATGTATCAAAGTGCACACAACACACTGTCGAAGAAAACACACGGGCAGAAAAAAAAGTAGGAGTCAGTCAGTGCGAAACGATAAGTAGCATACACTGAAACATCAACAAAAATCAACAAATAGCTCTACATGTACGTCATGTGTGTATATCAATATTCCTTTGAGCGCGTTCGAAGCGAATACACAGTACACATTTCACATTCATTTCGATACAGTACCTTTTTTTTCTCTCTCGATGATATTCTTGTGTAAAAACCGATAAATAAAACTATATAGATAAAAGGAAATAAAACAAATCGTTGGAAGTCAAAACGAAGAAGAATAAAAATGGCAGTCATGTGCTCGGGTTTATCATAAAATAAAAAATAAAAAATAAAAAAACGAAACAGTTTTGTGTGCTGGAAACATTTTTATTTAAAATGATAAACGAATCCAACATCCACAGTCAGTTCAATGTGAGGAAAAGTGTACGAAAATCAATCGGATTTTTTTGCCCCTCGGGGAAATCCAAGCGCAACGTGAAGGGAACTTGTGTACTTAAACATAGAGTCATCGCGATACATTGCTTAGAATCAGTCAGCCGATCAAATTCATAAAAGAAATTAGCCAAATTCGTTGAAGAGAGAAAAACAAAAAAAAATAAATTAAGCAGAGCGGAAACCGTGTCCTACTGAGTGGAGTGTGTGTGAAATAAAGAAAATTTAAACGGTTTTTAATTGTTGTGCATTGCCTGAAACGACCCACACACACACATAAATTCAATTATCAAATTGAGATCGGCCATCCAGCAGAAACCGTGAAAAGGAGCAAAAGGAAGCGGGTTGTGCATTTCTCCCACTCTCTCTCCCTCCCACACTATCCAAAGAAACGCAGCAGAAGCAGAAAAAGAGAATCGTAGTTTTTAATTCCAGAATAAAATGGATACAGAATACGTGCCATTTCTCCTAGTCACAGCTAATGTGGGGAGTGTTTTTGAAGATGTAAGTGCCCTACTTTTTCTCCTATGCCGCGCGCTTGTTGCCATTCCAAATGATTTATTCGTTTTACATGGCTCTTTTATTATTATTTTTTTGTTCATTCACGGCGGTGATTGTTGTTTTGTTTCGAATTGTTTGTTATCGTTTGATGTTGGCGTGCTGTGAGTTGAAAACGAAAATATCCTCTTTCGTGTCAAACACATGAACCGAGAGTAAAAAAAAAACATATTTATATAGTATATATGTGTATATATCTATGCAAAGTGTTTTGCGCGTTCTTGTGGGTGCCACAATATTGATTTTACTTTTAATTCAATTTCTCTGTATCGCGTTAATTATGAAACAACCGACGAAAAAAACAACAACAACCCGAATCATCTCTTTATCTCGCAGAAAAATGAAACGTCAAGAAGCATCATTTTCACCGTTGTGCTAATGAATGGCAAATGAGCTCTCTTTCGTGCGCAACTGTCGATAATTAAAAAAAAATTATTCTTTTTTATTTTTGCACACAAATTTTGCTCAGCACCTAGCTATTAATTCTCTAATCAAGGTAACGTAATGAAAAACAGAAAGAAAAATTAACGATACTCTAATCCCTTATAGCCGTCTCGATTGCTAGTGTCATGGATATCGGAATTTCTAGCCAAAATCTCGCTACTAAAGCCGCAATTTGTTGCGCTACACTTGCAAGAAGGTATGACAACACAATGCGATATATTTATATAGATGTATACAAGGGTGTAAACTACTTTGATTATGATTTCATGCGTTCATTTCTGTTGTTGTTGTTGTTTTTTTTTTGCTAAATCACAAATTATGTGAAATTCCTATGACATATGTATGCGTGTGTATATATCTAAAGTTGGCGGCAAAACGTACGAAAAATCCATGGAATACGTGCAGGAATTCATCCGACTGCTATGCGAATCGCCTGAACTGGAGAATTTCAACCGAATTCGAGTATATTTAGATGAAGATTACACCTCCGCTGAACATTTCACGGTAAATATCACACAAGACACAAAAACACTCTGATAAACAAAAACAAAAAACACACACACACAAGCACACATATCGAGAGGGAGAGAGAGATCGAGGAAGAAGAAGAGGAAAAATTATAAACAACCGAAAAGAAAGAGAAATACGCAATAGCAAAATACTCTCAAGGAAACAAAGTATTTATAAATCTCACCTTACATAGAGCGATTTAGTGAAAATTAGTATCTAGCAATCAATTTATATTTTCATCGATGTTATTAACCCTGATGATTGTGTGTGCCTACGGAAAGTGCAGTCGCTTGTGATCATTTTCGATTTCAAGTGTTATTTGGCCTAGCATAAGATCCCCCAGCACGTAATTATTGATAGTGTGCGACTATATATATATATGTATTGTATATATAGATTACTTTTTTTCTGTTCAATTCTCTTCGCATTCGATTCTCGTGCTTTAATTGGCGAAAATGAAAATGATTTTAATTACATTCGCAAATTGAATGCTAAATTTCGTTGCTTTGTGCCACTCGGAGAGTCGAAGATTTCGTGTGTGCATGCTTATAATTCGTTTGACTCAAGATTTTCGACGTTTCCAGCATGGCAAAGAAAAAACAAAACACACACACACACACACATACACACATATACACACACAGTTGGAATAACACAGTGGAAAACGAAACTTTCAAAATTAATTAAGTCATAAATACTTACTTAGTAGTTGGTAATCCAATTACCATATAAAAAATATGGACTTATTCAGAATGCCAAATATATAAAAGAGAGAGAGAAAGAGAAAGAGAGGGAGAAAAACAACAACACTCTAGCTTAAACAGACATACCTTAAACTAGTTTACTTTCAAACTTTGCTGCTGCTGTTGTTGTTTTGTTTCTTCACTCTCTCTCTCTCTTTCTCTCTCTCTCTCTCTCTCTCACTTTCTTTCTTCACCTTGTTATCTGCATTTGTTTTGCCAGTTCAAAAGCCTCTCAATTGGACACTTTACTGGATCAAATATGATTACATTTTCTATGGTTTTTCTTTGTAATTAACAAATTGTATTGGTGTTTTATGTATGTTTCATTTGCAGGCATTGGGCAATTTATACTTTATTGAAAAGTCACTAAGCACGGTAAAAATATGGAATTTTCTGACGCACGAATGGGAAGCCGTCGAGGGGAAAAGCGTGCACACGGGCAACATAGAGGCTGTAGCAACCAAAGAAAAGGCCAAATTTCCGCAACACTTTTTCCCAGAATGTAAATGGTCACGAAAGGGTTTCCTTCGAACGCGCTGGGAAATCAACGGTACTGTATTCGATATGATCAACATTCATTTATTCCATGATGCATCCAATTTGGCTGCCAGCGAAGAAACACCGTCAGTCTATTGTAAAAGCAGGCGTCGAGCTTTGGTCTACACACTGGAGCGGTGAGTATATATATAAGCCACGCGAATACACACACACACACACACACTCGTTGAGCACAGCATTAATGCATTTCTTCCATCGATAGGTTTCACAAAGATGTCTTAAACGGGGTGGCACCATATTTCGTATTCGGCGATTTCAACTTTCGCTGTGATACAGAAGGTGTAGTCAAGGTATTGCATCGAACATTTCATAGTCTCTGGTCGCTATGTAAATTGCTCATATTTTGACTCTGAAAAAACTATTTTTTTTCCAAATTCATTTTCCATTTGCAGAAACTAGCCGAAGACTTAACAATTCACAGAATATTAAATGTGAAAAATGACCATTACAAGGTTCAATATCGTGATGGCGATGCACAAAATGTGCTGACCATTGGAAAAAAGGAATTCCATCACGTGGAACATCAGACCAAATTCAAAGAATCATGGGTATGCATGCACGCAAACAAAAGCTCATTTACTAAAAGAAAAACAAAAATAAGGAGGAAAGTCATTTAAATGTATTCATTCGCTTTTGCAGTTGCAGCAATTCGACTTTGAACTGCAGCCATTGAAAGAAGTACTTGTCGAATATCCAATAACATTCCCACCTTCATATCCGTACGAAGAAGATCCAGTATTGCCACAAGATTATATGCTCACCCGATGTCCAGCTTGGTGTGATCGCATTCTGATGAGTCCAGCCGCCAAAAATCTTATCAATGATAACAATTTCTCGTCATTGCACTACAATACAATCGGCAATAATGTGTGCATGGGTGATCACAAGGTAAATGTTATATTTTTGTTTGGCTTTGTTGAGCAACTCGATTTACGCTTCAAATTTTCTTTTTATATATTCAATCTCTATTTTTCTTCAATCAATGAGACAAACTAATTTTTCTTTCTTTAATTCGACTACACATGAATTTGAATGAATTTGGTTCCGATTGCAAACCAAATCGAAAAACTTCCTTAAAAACCAAAACCAACACAAAAAAAAACACACACAAACAAACAAAAAACATAAAACAAAATCTAAATGAAATGCAGCCTGTCTTCTTAAGTATCAACTTAAAAACATTTCAAGGTACAATTAGATGTTGTTGCGCGCATGCTAAGATTAACAATAATCATCAACCACCACCAGTGGCACCACTCCAAATGCTACTACCACCACCATCACCACCACAACAACATATATTAGTAGATCACACAAATGCATCATATAAGTTTGCGTCACAGTGTCCATATGCTAGTAATGAATATTGTAATGTGTTATTAGAATGTAACAAATTGAACAGTAAACTTTGCAAAATCAATTCATCAAATGCATTGTGTGGTAATGCAAGCGAGGGTGGGCCGCAAAAGCGAAAAATCAAACCGACTGTTAGCATCAATGTAACGGATGCGGAAAACTTAAATGTGTGTATGTGCTCATTGTATGCCAGTTGTGATAATGTGCTTGCTGAACAAGAATCAATGATTGGCTCAATTTGTCCCCGATGCCAAAATATAATCAAGCAACAGCCGACCGAGCATCGAAAAACATTGATCTCAAAACGTTTGACACTATCAAAGGATATCATCGTCAATCGGGTCGATACACACTTTTTGAGTCTGAAAACGGCATTCGATAATGGCAAACGTTACGAACCATACACACCGGAAAGCATTGAATCCCATTCACCGCTCCATTGTGACTCCGATATACTCGAATACGAGCAAAACGATGACGAAAAAATCGATACAAACAATACAATGCCAGCCGATGTAACTGTCGATCCGTTTGACAAGAATAGCAAAGTAATTAGTCCAGTTCGTTCGTTGTCAACACACAGCAGTGCTGTGTCACCGCGACAGCTCAAATCACGCTTGGAAATATTACGAAAAACGTCAACCGATGCATCCGGCATGGTCATCAGTAATCACATCACCGAAAATCGAAAACAACGACTTAAACGCGGTTTTTGCTTCAATAAATGTTGTGTCATCATATGAACAATTTTGCGGGAGAAATTTGCTCGCATCATCATATATTCATTCCGTTATTGTGATTGGGCCACAAATCTACTCAATCAATCATTGGGCTATTCCGTTTTGTTTGCATCTTGAAATCTCCAAAATCACCCACCTTTACCCACCTATCCCAAAAGCCCACAAATTCATATCACACACGAAATTATTTTTTACACGTTTCTCACATCGTTCTGGACAATAGAATTGATTTTGCAGATTTTATTGAATAGTGTAGGAATTTTCGTGAGCTTGGTTCTCGATACTGAGTTTCACATATATGTATATATACATATATATATATATGTAACTTTGTGCCCACACCGTTAAACATTAGTCGAATCAAATAACCATGATTTTTTTAGATATTTGAACCGATTCATGTGAAAGAGATTTGCCAAAAAAAAACAAACAATAAATAGAGAAACAAAACTGTACATTAAAAAAATGTTATGTCATCTGCTCTGAATAGCTTATTTGTTGTATTTACGTGTCACCTGTAGTAGCTACTTAATTTAATTTAATTGTATTTTAATCTATTTCATTTAAATTATAATTTATATATTTGTATGTCATGAGTAAACGAAATCAATCAACAGCATAACAAAAACAAAGTAAATAAAATAATAAATCAACAACAGCATTAAATGCTATGTCAATGTGCCTGTGCATCTCCTAGTTTATTTTATGTTCGATTTTGATTGAATTTTTATTTCATTTTAGATGGTCAAAAACGCATGTTGTATTTTCCTTGTTAAAGTGATAAAATAAGAAAAATGTAAATAAATCGCCAAATGTTAGTTGATGACACACATTCTTAAAGGAGTGAAATTCAAATCCTAAGCTAATTAGCCCGTACTTAATTTATATGAAAGAAAAAAGAAGAACCAAAATCAACATTTATTTTCTTTTATTTTATTTTCATTTTTTACTTTTGTTTTCATTCAACTGAACTGCAAAAAAATAAAATATGAATTATTTAAAATTACCCTTTATGATTTGTTTCCTTTTTTATTTTTGGTTGCCATTCAAAGAACATTGAAAAAAAGTAATAAATTGAATTTGCTTTTCATTCATTTTCTTATTTTTCTTCTTTATTTAACTTTATTTTTTTTTCATTTTAAAAATCAATTTTTATTTAGGTGCACGAAATTAAAATGCAATGCTGTGTGTTTGCCGACACGATGGACTTCCCCGCTTAAATAACTAACCGGATTTTCGACATATTTTTAAAATGAATGGAGCATGAACCTGTTGCATACTATAGTTTTTATTTTTCTAGCTTTTGCTTCGATGTTCACACGATGTTCACTACTATAATGTTGTATATATTATCTATTTATACAGTCTGTTGTGCGTCTGATGAATACTGGTGACTCAATTTACATATGGATTTTTCTCTTTCTCTCTCTCTCTCTCTCTCTCTTTTTAAAAAATGACAACACATCGAATCGATTGGACAGGAAAGAGCCTTCAACGAGATGATTTGTTGATATCACCCGAGCTGCAGGAAATCGTTGATATGATCTTCGGTAATGAGGATGGTGCAAATTCGAATGCGAATGCGCATAGCGACGAGGAGGATGCGACAGCGGCGACGACGGCGGCAGCTAATGAGGGATCCGGCATCGTTGCAAATAGTAAATTCATTCAGTTGAGTAGCATTAAACAAGACGTCGAATCAACCAGCGCAGACTGTTATTATCCGAATAATGGCAACTCGGTTGTTTTTCGCGAAACCACCGTTTGAAAATAGATGAATTAATTTTTTGTTTTGTTTTGTTTTGTTTTCCGTTGTCGTTGTCGTCGTCATCGTCGTCGTCGTCACAAAATATAGAGACCTTGAACATGAAATAAAAATAGAACACCACACATAGAAAGAAAAGAAAATCGCGTTGCAATCCGAAAAATATAAATAAATAATAGGAGTTCAAAAGCCCCCGTAGCAAAGATTGATATAGCAAAAATTTACACTATATATTGTTGCTTTGAAAACACCACACTTTGTTTTACTTCAGAAGGAACAAACAGTTGTTGTATTCAAAGTTTTATGTTGTGAGTTAATTATTAAAAAGGGAAAAATGGAAGAAAAAAAAATATTTGTAGTAATGCACATTACAAAACACACACCCACATTGATTTCCCAATGAAAAAAATAATAGTTCTTCCTTTGATTTGTGCAGTGTTGAAAAAAAAAATAGAAGCTGTTAAATTATAGACACCAAATAGACTCTGAAGAAAAGCGAAATAATTGTGTAGATGAGAGACTAATGGGCTCACACATGTGTGAACGAATTTGAAAGAAAAACTGAACCAACCAATTTTTTTTAGCATTTTATTGTTGTAAGGTGTAGCAAATTTGGGTTTTGATGTATTTTTTGACTAATATGCAATCAACATTTCGATGATTTCTCTCTCACACACACATACACCCTCCCCCTCCCCCACACACATGCGTGATTCCAATTCCAGAAGAATGATTTTTATTTTAGAATTTTGGTTTTAATGTGCAAAAATAAAATCGTCCGTCCGATTTTGTTGCGTGAAACAAAAAAAAATGTTCATTTGGCTCATCCATTTGACCGTTTTCCTTCGTTCGGTTCAACATTCGTTTACATTTAAGATTTCACGATAATTTGAACAAAAAAAATGCATACAATTTTCTTTTGGATATATGTATTGCATCACGATGGTTATATTTTATCAAAATAGATGTGACTCAAGAATTGAAATCAACAAATGAATTAAAATATTACGCGCACGCACAACATGAAAATCAAGTGAACAAAAAAAAAACTGAAGTATTATTTTTAGTTATTTGAATTGAAAAAAAAATCCAAAAAAGAAAACAACAACAACAAACAACAAGTGAAATAATGTTAACACAGATAAACTTAAACGCCATTCTTTTGATCTCATTTACATGGATGTTTATAAAAAAAAGAAGATAAATTTTTTATTTTACGCGTTATCACGAATATTATGATAGTTGCAAACAGATCGTATATTATAATACATCAATATGTACTTGTTTCAATCATTTTTGATTCATGTGATTCCATTATTTCTTACTCCAAGTCAGTTTACATTGTTCGTGAATTTACCTTTTTTATGGATTTTTACATTGTCGAATCGAATTTATTTCACACTCAAAAAATGAAGACACGAAAAAAACAGCAGCATAAACAAAGGGTATTTGCTATTTACTAAAAGAAAATGATATTGATGGACTGAATTTAAAAGTTTACGCAGAATTTGATCCATAGTTTCGGAAATGAATTTGCTCAAGCATCTATGATATGTTGGCGACGCTATTACAGCTTAAGCAAATATTTCGTAGTCAAAATGAATTGTAGCGGATATGTGCCAGCCAATGAAAATCCATAACAATAATATGTAATGAAAAAGAGCTTACCAATGAACAAAAAAAAAACAAATAAACAAATAAACAACCAGTGAGAAGCATAAATCAAAGAATAACACAAAGTTCTTTGATATTGCTAAGTATTATACATATACATATACATATATTAAAACCAATAGCAATAGTAGTCAGTTACAATGATTCCATATTCCAAGTGTTTTCGTGTCCGACAAATACTATTTTAAATGAATTTAGAACATCACTGAATGGGTATTAGATTAATGAACATTATATTTGTGCCATAATCTACAATTAATATTTATTTATCATTTAACCAATGATGGAAATTTATTCAATAAATATTTATGAGAGAAATCAGCGCGATGTTTTCATTGAGTTTTTTCTTCAATCTTGAACTAAAATCATATTTTAACACTTATGCACATGTCTATGCATTGTCATCGGTCGGATTCAATGTGGTCATTCTATAAGGAAAACCAAAGAAATGACAAATTAATCGAAATTAATATTCATGCAAAAAAAAACCTGAAGATTTATCAACGATGCTTTATGACCAACAAGTAATTTGTGTCTATGCAGTCATTCAAGTGATGCAGCCATGGAAACTGGACAGATAGACTTTTGAATATTTTCACCAAATGAAAAGAATATTAAATTGGATTTGTTTGCAGACGGAAGATTTGATGTGTAATGATACCTTGATATCATGGCCTAATTCCTCCTAATTTATATCAAATTGCGTTTTAGTCAGCTTCAATTGGGTTTATTACACTTTTTTGGTTTTATTAGTTTACTTACAGTTTCTATTTTTGGATTCATAGCACGTAGAATTCCATAGCAAGTGGAAAATCTATGCAACAAAATCGAATCGTGAAGTTTGAATACAGCGAAAAAGAACACTTGACATTGATACTTACAAACCGGCTGAAACAAAAACAAAAAACCAATGAATTCGCAATACTGATTAGTACTGGTGCTGCTTTCGAACTAGATCAATGAATGAAAACAATTTGGGGTTTTGGGTGTACATCATCAACAATAAAATTATGTTTATTTCCTTTTTTTATCTCATATTTTCGTTTTGTTGGGTGTAATAATCACACTGATAATACTTATTCGTATGCATATTATCTTATAAAGTATTTTCTATGCATAAAGAAATAAAATAATACCAACTACAATTTCTTTCCGTGTCTTGTAGAACTCTCAAAATAACATGGATAAATCGGAAGAAAAGTTGCTATGGCAATAATAGTGATGGGATGCAAATAAATTTGGAGTAATGATAGAATGAACCTACCTTCAACTGATTTGTATTTTCAGCACACACACAAAATGGATTTTTAAAACTTTCACTTTTACAACAGCTTTAAAACAAATAACAACAACAAAAAACGTACGACTTACGACTGGGCATCACTGTGCCTCAACACAGAAACGCTAAAAAAACACTTTGATGGATTAACATATCTGAAGCACTGAAATGCAGATGGCCTCATTTTGCGACAATGGAATAAGTCGTCAAAATATTGAAATGATAAACAAATTGTAGCTGAAGCCTGAAATGAGGACACTCTTTTATCGCTATTCCAATCAAATGCGTTTGTATGTGTGTGTGTGTGTGTGAGTAATTCGGGTCGTGTAATTGTTTGTGGCTGTGATTGATTACTCTCAGAAAAATTCGCGTGGTTCTTACATTTGATTGAATTATCAACGAAAGAGTGATCGCTCCACCTATTTTTTTTCTTTCTTTTTGATGGTTAGAACGCGATACGTATTACGTTTATCCGGTATCTGAAGCACTTCGACCTCAGTACGGTTGAACATTCAGTGAAAGCCATAAATGCTGTAATAATAAATCAGTTGTGATTAGAATCCAAGCGATTCAATTCAAATAATAATGGATATTGCATTTTGCCTTCGGTATTGTTTTCCATGAATCAGTTTGCTGTTCGGTTTTATATTTATTTAAGCTCTTTTTGTTTTGTTTTGATTTTGTCTATGTTTGCACAACTGATTTATGGAAAAATAAAATCGGCAAACACATCATAATTTGTTTCTGTTTCCCACCTCTTCAGACACAACAATAATTTAGATAGAGAGTGAATTGAGTAGCAGGTATTGTATTCATCGTTGCGCCCAAAGAACTAAGCCGTCTACGACATGTGTGCACGTTTCCCAACGTTTGTGTGATGCGATGCGATACTAGGGTTTGTTTCATGTTTGTCTGAAATGATTTTAAACGATTTAACTAATAACTGGAAACACAAATCAATCGAATAATAATTATGATTCTATCAACTCCAAATTTGTTATGCATAATGAAAGCTACTTTGATAAATGGATGAAGTAGAAATATTGAAAGTGCATGTTTGTAATCGGTGTTGGCATTGATATTGTTATTTAAGACGATTCGGAAAGATTTTCTATTGGTTTAACAAAATGTCGTATTTTTTTTTCCTTTCATTCGTTTATGACTGGCATTTTTTTTGTTTTATTTTTTTCTGTTCTGTCTGTACTCCTGTATATATCTGTATTCCCTTAGTGTACATGCAAAACTTCGTTTTGTGTATAGTTTATCAGTTTCTAACTCTATTCTTGTTACTTATATGCTAATGGTTAGTTTGAGAAAAAAAAGAAAAAAAAATCTAAAAAAATTAGCTTATTATACCAAATTAGAACATAATTCTAAAGATAAAATGCTTAGAAATTAAAAAAAAAAATTCAATTTTGATACAAAAAAGAAAGAGATAGAGTAACAATCAGTAGAAAATAAAGTACCGACATTTTTCAAATTGAGTTTATCAATTTCATACTCATTGATTGTGTTGTGGTGGTGGTTGTTGTTGTTGTTGGCTGGACCGATAGCAAATGTGAATGCGTATGTTTTGGTCACCGCCTTACATCTCCTCGCACCAAGCATTCTGCGAATTTATGTGACAGGATGCACAAAATTCGAGCGAAACACGTCCACTCGATACATGAAGACAAATTCCCGGTGCATTATCGGTATTTTCTTCAGCCACCTTGTTTTTTGTGATTGGATTATTAAAATAATTGTGTTCAGTTTTAACGGTATTACTACTGTTCGTACTTAGGATTTCACTGTCGTCAATGTCTCGCAAATCGGCAATGTTCAAAGGGTTTAGATCGTTTGATTTGAATGTGGTTGGTTCATTCAATAGATTCTCCCATTGAAAATCGTCGATATTTTGCTCGTACGATGATGTGGATTCGGTTGCTGTGAAATCGGTGTGGCTACCAATATCTAGATCTGTGAAGTTAAAAAGATTTTGTTCAGTAAATGACGGTAGAAATGGATCACTGTGTGTTGCCCAAACTGTACCATTTTCTTTGTCATCTTCTGCATACGATGATGGTGACATTGAAGCGGAGGCTGGTGAACAACCGCTGCTGCTGTCGCTGATGCGTCGCATTGATTGTGAAATTGAATTGTGTCGATAGTCATGGTCGGCGACAAAGCTCAATGCTGACGATGTAATTGGTGTACGATTGCCCTGGATACATCGTAACAATGACATTATCTCCGTTTTATTGGCCAAAATGCTTCGCAAATATAAACTTTCTTGTGTCAATTTCGAAATGGTACTATTTCGAATGCTCAACATTTTCTTCAATTTTTTATTCTCATTTTGGGTGTCGTCAACGGTTTTCTGCAAAACTTCCATATGTTCTTTCTTTTTGCGACGATTTTCACGTGCCATAATTGCATTTCGATTGGACACTTTTGGATCTGGTTTACGCGTTGGCATTCGTTTGATTGACAGCTTTGATGCCGATTTCGTACGATTGCGAAATACGTCGCCTGTACTTTGATACGTTTGTAAACGTTTCGACTTGTTACCTGTGCATGGTTCACCAAGCTCACTCCCCGACTGCATCTCATCCGAATAAATGGTCTCGTCGTCTGAAAAATCGTCGTCATTTTCGTGGATGGGTGAAAATTCGGCCTTATTTTTCAATTTCAGCATTTTGGCATCCATTTTGTTTTTGTTTTTTTTTCTTTCGTTCGATTTGTAGTTTTGACACTGGTTGGTATGGAAATTTTTGCTCGTCGTTTGCTTACGGCAAAAAGATTAAAAGGTTTTTTGTTCAGGAGACGAAAAACAAGAAAGAGTGCTAATTAAACCTGTTAAAATTTTAACCTTCTGATGGTTACTTACAAAATTGTAACACTTTTAAACAATTCGCGGCTTTTTTTTTCGGTGAAAATTTTTAATTTCTTCTTTATTTCAAGCGAGAGGAAAAAGTTACACGAAGTCCGATCTACTGCGTCGTATTCAATACGTATATAATTAGAAAGTGAGTAAGCGTATGGCACTTGGAATATAGCATCGGAGGCGCTAGTGTCACTGCATGCATTCAATGCCGTCATCCGCATAAGTTTCAATCTGTACAGAGCTTCAGTATACTTTTCACACATGAAATGCATTGTTCCGAATGAAAATAATCACAATGTTGAGTTATTAGCACAAAACATCTTTAGTAGTTTATTTTTCAAACTTAAATTGATTTAAATCATGTTCATAATGCTATAATTTGAAAATGTTTATCTATAAACTGACTAATTCACCTATGGCCATCTTTTGGTGGTGAACCGACCTGTAGAAACTGTCAAAACAAATGTTGAGGTTACATCATTTTGTATGTTAAACTGATCGATTCGGTTGAATAGTGTAAATAGTGTTGTTTTTATTTTAAGGAAAGGCCATCAACATGATTGTAAACAGATTGTTAGGTAAAATTTTGTATGGCCATAAGGTTCGGCTGAGGTATCGCTATTATTCAACGTCAAAATCATCAGATGACAACATTCGAAATATTGCAATTTTAGCTCACATCGATGCAGGTAATGTGTTCGGTGTGTTTACAATCAACAATGCAAACCAAATTAAACTTTCTTTCTTTCGCTTGAAATAGGCAAGACAACAACGACCGAACGGATGTTGTATTATTCCGGCAAGACGCATACAATGGGAGAGGTACATCGTGGTAATACAATAACCGATTTTTTAGCACAAGAACGCGAACGTGGTATCACAATATGCAGTGCAGCGGTAACACTTCCGTGGAAAGATCATCGTATAAATCTCCTAGACACACCGGGTCACATTGATTTTACAATGGAAGTGGAACAGTCACTTGGCGCCGTCGATGGTGTAGTTGTTGTGCTCGATTCATCAGCTGGTGTTGAGGCACAAACAATTACCGTTTGGCATCAAGCCGATCATTATAAACTACCACGAATGGTTTTCGCAAATAAAATGGATCGACCAGATGCTGACTTCGAGGGATGCTTGGATGATTTAGAGAAAAAATTGGAATGCATTCCAGTGCCCATTCAATTGCCAATTATGGGTGACAAAGGAATAAAAAGTAAATGAACTAAAAATTATACGAAAAAATCGATCAAAATTGAAAAGAGACTGAAAATTCAAATATATCCATTCGGTAGGTATCATTGATGTTCTGGAGCTTAAAGAGTTGCGTTTCGATCAATCGAAAGAAGGACGTGTTTACGCCAAAGTTCCGCTCAGTGGTGAGCTTCTGAGAAAAACGGTCGAGAAAAGATGTGAGATCATTGATTTGATGAGCAGCTACGATGACAAGTTAGCAGACCAAATCATACAAAATGATAGTTTGGAAACCATCGACAGTTCCATAGTTAGACAAGCGATACGAAATTTGACGATAAAGCAAAATATTGTGCCAATATTCCTGGGATCGGCGTACAAAAATACAGGTGTACAACTTCTAATGGATGGGGTCACATCATATCTGCCAGCGCCTAGTGAACGTGGCTCTATTTATAAATGCTTTGGGTAAGTTATCGATTGGCCATTGTGTCAGAATTTCAATTTTGAAAATAGTTTTACTCATTTTGCTTACCTTTTCCAATTTATCGGAATTTTTAGTAAAGATTTTGCGGGCAAAGTGTTCAAGGTGATGCACGACAAACAAAGAGGTGCCTTGAGTTTAGTTCGGGTGCTCAATGGTACGCTAAAAAAAGGGGACAAAGTCACTACATCCAATGGTAACTCGGAGGTCATTCAGCGAATCTATGAACCGTTGGCCGATGAATACCGTGAAATAAATGACGTGAGTCAGGGAAATGTTGGTATATGTGCTGGACTCAAGGTATAAATTTCTATTAAAAATGTTTCGAAATTCCATTTCTCCGTTTCACACGTTCCATATACACTCCTAAAAAAAAACATTTCCATAAAAAATTAGACTACCTCCACTGGTGATCTTCTTATGTCGAGTATGAAATCATTGAATGCAGCCCAAGAGAAGCTTGAGTCAAAAGGTATTCAACTGCAGTTGAAACCACAAATTCCAGATGCCGTTTATTTTTGTTCGATTGAACCGCCATCCATTTCTTATCAGCCAGCTCTTGAAAAGGCACTAGCTCAGCTCCATCGCGAAGATCCAAGTTTTCGCGTTAGCTATGATGATACAACGATGCAAACCGTTCTGGGTGGAATGGGAGAATTACACTTAGAAATAATAAAATCGAGAATTCTAAGTGAATACAAAATCGAAGCTGATCTTGGACCATTACAAATTGCTTATAAGGAGTCGATTCAGGAGCCCATTCGTGATACATTCGAATTGAAAAAGGATATTGCTGGTTCAGCTCAAGAAGTCACCATTGAAATGTCATTGGTTATGGATAAAACAGACGAATTTAATCTCGACACACATCCAGAGGCGGCACATGCATTAGCAGCCATTCATCCAAAATACATAAAGTGTATAAGAAAAGCCGTGCAATCAGCCCTGCTTAGAGGCCCATTGGTTGGTGGAACAGTTGTCGATACACAAGTTATACTACACCAATTGGTGCTCGGTAGAAGAACAGCCGAATCCTTATTAATGTCGGCCACAGCACAGTGCATACAAAAACTTCTCCGGAAAACCGGATGCAGACTTTTGGAACCACTGATGTCAATTCAAATAATTATGCCGGGCGGTCGACTATCAGTCGTGCTGGGTGATTTGTCAAAGCGACGAGCGGAAATCCAAGAAGTGGTAGTCCGAGGAGAAAACAGGGTAAACAATAACAACAATTTGAATTGAACAGAAAACTTTTTATTTGGTTCATATGAACGCGTGAGAATAAAAGACTGACGCTACCAGGTTTTTCGCAAAAGCGGGATAAAAATCAGTTGCACGCAAAAGAGACATTTCAAAAGGTTGCACGCAAGAGAGAAGTATATTGTTGTTGTAATCACGGCTTTAAAATTCAAAATGCGACAAAATAAAATGATCCGTTTGTGTGTAACCTTTTGAAATGTCTCTTTTGCGTGCAACTGATTGTTATCCCGCTTTTGCGAAAAACCTGCTAGCGTCAGGCTTTTATTCTCACGCGTTCATATGTAATTTTGAAATGACATTCCATTGTATTCTATTTTATAGATTGTGCATGCAATCGCTCCGTTGGCCGAACTCGGCGGGTATTCGAGTAAGGTGCGAATATCTACATCGGGAACAGCTAGCATGAGTATGCAGCCATGCGGCTACGTATCTATGACGGAAGACCAACAAACGCACGCAATACGACGAACTCAAGGATTAGAATAAATATTTCGAGTCAAAGTGTTCAATATTTGTTTTAAAAACATTCGATTATTCAGTCAATAAACCAGTTAATTTTAAGCAAAAAAATATTTGGGGCGTCTCCATTGGTTTATGTCTTCAATAGATCTGACCTGAAGTCGTATTGAATTTTATTTTATTTTTGGTTACTACTTTCAATCAATCAACGAATAATTACTTTGATCGAGCGAATTTTTTTTCAGTGGTAGTAAGTATTGACTGCAACGTTCGATACAACGCGTTGTCTAATGGAATTGCAACAGGCGTTGTGGAATGCAATGGCCAAAAGTAAGCCAAGGGTAATGAAGCGTGTATTTTTCCCTCACGAAATCAATTTGTTTGTCAATTAAATTTCAAAGCTGAATGAACTTCAACACTTGTGTGCTATTCATACTTTCACACGAAAATATCTGATGTTATAAGTCTGACATCAAGGACGGCAAAATAAAACGCCCAAGAAATATTCAATGTCACTTGGATAAAGGAAAAATAAAAATCAACAAGACGACTTATGTTAAATGCCAAGGCGAATTGCGCGCGTTTGTGTCGTTCACAACGAAATTGCACCGAATCAACTCTTGAATGAATATTTCATGGAATGAGCAAAAAAAAAACTTTCACTGGACTTACAGTCAATCATCTGTGCTGAACGAATTCATAACTTTGCTTATGTACAGGCGTGCACACACACACACAAACACTCACACAGCTTCGCTATATAGACATACTTTGCATTCCCAATTTGTACATTCGAATTTGTATTCATGCATAATTTCGCCTGGAAGATTTATACGCGCACAGTAAAATTCATTTCCACATGCAATATGCGGTACGTGCCCGCTTTCACACTGCAAGAAATCGCCTACATTCATTGTTTAGCCACATACGATAAAATTTACTTTGCGCACTTTTCATCGTTGTTATTGTTGATGGTGTTCGGCATTATTTTATCATAGCAAACATAAGTTTTATCCGTGTCCGTGCCCAAGTGTTGAAATTTATGCATTTTGTGCAAATGGTTTTTCTTTTGTGTGCTTCTTCTTCGGTCGGCTATTTTGTTGTTGCTATTTTGCTGTTGCTTTGCTTTTTTATGCAATGCAAACTTTAACATAATCAAATTGTTTTGTGGCTTCGAAAGTGAAATCTTTTTTGTTGTTGTTGTTACTTGAATTGCATTTTGGTATGGTCGAGCTTAGCCACTTAAATTCTTGGTTCGTTCATTCAGGATTCAGTATTCGATGCTTAACACTTAATAAATGTAATTAAAATCAATTTTCTGTACAATCATAAAATTGAATTTCTGTTTGTCCAACTACTTAACGATGATGACCAGAGAGTGTGTGGATGCAACAAGTGACTAAATTTCTTAGATTTCATCGGTAACACTTGTTGCCCATTTCTCATTAATAGCTATCACCATTAAATGAGTATCATTTTAACAGCAACGTGATGAAATTTCACCGTAATTCAAGAGAAAAAGAACAACGAGACGCAGAGAAAGCAATCATCAGCTGAACACAACCGAATTGTATTGTACGATGATGAAATGAAATGCTAAAGAAAAGAAAAAATACATCAAAGGTGTATGGATAAAAGTATTTTTTTACTTGGAAAAATTAGTTTGATTTTATGAAAAAGGAAAAGATTACAGAAAACAAATGGAAAACATTAACAGAACAAGATTGAAACAAACAATTATTCAAAAGAAATGCTGTGCAAAAGTGGTCATGAATTAAAAGAATGCTTTTATGCTTAAGCGTCATCGGAATATGTTGAACACACATCACTTCATCATATTTACCGTTTATCACATGAAATACACTTATAACGGTAAGAAATTGAGTTGAACAACAAAGACACACTGAAATGGTAAAAAATGAGATGGCGAACGAACAAAGCGAGAAGAATAGATAGAGAGATAAGAAAACCGAGTCAGGCTTAGCTTGAGTAATAAAAAAAAAATCGGAAATGGCAGGTTTGAATATCAACTGTGTCAGCATACACATCGAGCAAGTTAAACTAGTTGCTGGAGCAGAGCAACTGGAATTCAACACACACGCCAGTGGAACTAACACAGAAAATGCCATAAAATGGAATATTTCTTTCAATCTGGTTTTGTTGTGTCTTTTTTTTCTGCTGTTGAATATAATAAACGAGAATCATCACTCTTCGCATTGTTTTCAACAGTTCATCCAATTTAAATGCATTGAAAATAAACTTTTTCTCAAAACCAAAAAAAAAAAAAACCAAGACGACAACAACAACGACCTCATATCAAACACAGATAAAGGAGAAATATAAAAGCGATCAAGTTAAAAGAAACACACATAAGACCAGAATTATGGAATCAAAAGATCTTTTCAATGGAATGTGTGTTCAAAAGATGCTTTTTATTTGTTTTGAAATGGTATGCTTTGTTGAGCTTGTTTTCTGCTGCTGCTGCTGCTGCTGCTGCTTCTGTTGCTTACAAGTGCCACAAGTTTGATCATTTTCTCTTGAAATTTTCAGATTACAATTATAATTAATTTGAATAAAATTAGTAGTTTGGTCGGTGCGCGCTTTCGCAATTTTTTTGTGATGCATGGCAGTCAAGTGAGCGAGCGACGTAACGGCGGCGCGATTTGATGAAATCAGACATTCCAAGAGCACGGTATGAAGTTCCTACAAATATCAATAAAAACGTAGGAACTCTAAACCTCGCTGTCGGTAATGACTTGACAAATTAACGTCGAATGCATCACTTTATTATCGCTTCAGCTACTTTCCCATTTGATGGATGTTCTGTGCAGAATATCGGCTATACTGATGTCGTAGTCGTCCGACCACAATATGGTCAATCCACTTTTAAATTCTGGACACTGCTGCAACTCTTTCGATACTGTGAATTTAAAAACAAATCAGATTTATATTATCTTCTTCATTCTGTTCATCTGTTGAGAGAATGAAGGTAAATATTTCGAGACAACAACAAATCTGCTGCATTCGTTTATTCTTCTTCTTCTTCTTCTTCTTTTTTTTATTTTAAATCTGTGTCCAATACTTGTTTCACCTTTACTTCATCCACTGCTGTTCCTAACGGCCCAGTTAAATAAATGACCGTTGTTCGCTTCTTCGCTCTTTTATTACATATTTATATGCCTGCACATATATTAGCCATACGTTTTGTGACCTTTTGTACATATATATTCACAGTTGTTGTCGTTTGCACAAAAAAAAAAATCAGCGAAAAAGAAAATTTGCGAGCAATACATATCACACGCCATCGTTGAATGTTATGATAAAACGAAATGGCGTGCACATTGATGAAACCAGATCGTGAATGAAAATAACAACAGCAGCAGCAGCAGCAAGAGAGAAAAAACAGTTTGAAATTCGTGTGAGTGTGCTCTTTTTTATGCGGTGCTAATACGCTTTTATTCCCTGCAACTATCGTCTTATCACTTGAATTTATTGTGTTTTTGACTCAAGAAGCGCCTACGTAAAACCCATTTTTCAGTCGAGTTTATCACACTCAATTTTTGGTATTTTTAGGTCCCACCAACGAAAAAAAACAACAACAACATAGTGTGCAGTGTTTGCACGAGAGTTCCACGCCAATTTCTCTCTTCACACGCACACCATCGCAAACGAACACACACGAACACAAGAGCAAACGCACGCAGAAAGTGGCAAGCACACGTCCATGTTGGGCACATCGCAAACATGTATTTGTTATGCCAGTACGACTCGGGATGATGATGAGTACATTTTTTTCCGTTTGTGTCATTACCTCCATTTTGCCCTTGTGTAGGTGAATCGAACATAGTTGTTTACATATATGTACACCATTTTTTTTTATACATAGTAATCCGTTTGCAGATTGGAATTCTTTTCGCCAACATTATTTTTCGTTTTGGATTTCGAATGGTATATTTTTGTCGCATTTTTTTTTTCTCCATTATCCACACACCAGAGAGACACAAATAAAAACGATATGTCGGCACGATTATATCTTTTTCCATGATGCCGGTATGATTTCACATTATTTGGAGAGATGAAAAATGCAGGATGAAAAAAAAAATCAAGTATCAAAGAAGCGCAAAACTATAACACACAAATTGAAGCCAACCGAAAAAAGCAACAATAATAAATGTTTTCTTTTTGCACCATCACAATCACAAATCGTTGTGCGTATATTGCCTCCGATTCGACTGAAGTCAGCATATTTACGTTGAAATTCCAATCACAAACTGAATACCGAAAAATTATGTACAACAAATATAATCAAATCTTATCTGCATTTCATAGGCTGTAGCAAAGGCGGAGTCATTTTTTTTTGTTCGGTTCTATTGATGTTGCCGTTGGAAGAAAGAGAAATAGCAACAACAATTGCTTAGGTATTGTATTTGTTTTGAATGTGGTTTTTCGAGTAGTATTTGGGACATTCGGCATGAGTTCCGTTCCATCGGCAATACAAGACAAGTCAATTGAAACATGTGTTAGTGATGTAAATGTTTGATATATATATTTATATATATAAAGCCCGAAAGGAAAATAGGAACGAAATGTCGGAATCGTCTAATGGTGATGGAATTGATGATTGAAATTTCACTGCAAATATTTTACCTGTGCGCTACCAAACCATTAGCAAGAGTCAGTGTACCCAACATACCAAGTTCAGGTTGATGTCGCGTTACAACGCAGGATGATGAAATCATTCGACCACAAAAATGAGAAACAGAATAGGAAAAAATTGCGCGAACACACACACACAAAAAACTCCTACAAATTGGCATTCATCTTGAGATTTAGATTTGAGAAAAGAAGCGAAAAATCAAAACAAAAATACAAAAGAGAGAGAGAGAGAGAGAGAGAGAGAGAGAGAGAGAGAGAGACTTCCCTTTGGCTTTTGAATGCAACAATGCAAAAACATTAAGATTGGAAACGAATCAAATAAAATGTTGAACGACGACGACGACGACGATCAGACGATGTTCATATTTGTTCATATGATGTTTATCTCTTCGTTCGTTGAGTCACTGTCTGAATTGCAAATTGTTAAGGCGAACAGGGGAGAGGAATGACAAAAA